TATGATAGCCAGCCTGATGAGTTATCCTGAAGACTGATTTCTGCAGCGTTCATAGTTTAAGGGTTGTCCTGTAGGTGTTACCCTAGACTTGCATCTGGGAAACAATTGAGGCCAATCTGAGGAAACATAAAGTTCATATAGACATTTCAATTATAGTTCATCACTGTCAGTATTTGTCTTTTTTATGCTAATATTATTTGTATATCTTATCGCTCATCACCAGGGCTACTAAATCATTCTTCTTCATATATGTAATTTGCAAATGAATGACCCGTCAAAGAGGTCCATTTTCTGTTTAATTTCCTCCATTCTGTCTCATACATCACAGGGGGAATAACAGGCTGCTGGGCACTTGATGAATGTCTTTCACCTTCTATTGTTCCTCGTTTGTTGGACCCTTAGACTATCTCAATCACAAAGGCTAAACCAGACGCACATCAATATAATTTCAATCAGGCGACAATGATTTATGCAGCTCATGTTTATCGACTCAGATAGCACAAAGCACCACACAGCAGCCACTCAGATAGTGGAAACTCTCTGAAATAGTACATGGTGTCTCTAATGCACATTTTCAGCCTCTAAACTAAAACCGAGGTTCATGAGTTTTACGTGAACAGAGAAGAAGAAGTTTGTTCTCTTGTTGACACCAATAACCAAATTTGCAGATAATCCCACCACCCATATTATTCATTTTTGTGATTTGGTTCTTTTTTGGTTCAGACTTATTTCCAAAACTTTGTTCTGACTTCAGTTTCATGCTGCACCAGGAATCGGAGTCTGGGATGCGCCATCTGTCAAGGCAGAACAAAGACAACAAAGTGTGACTTTCTCATTGTTTTCTTTTTTAGTAGTAGGAGAAAACTTCAGTGTTAGTGGCTGAATTACACAACAGCAACAGAGCAGCAGAAGTCTGTGGGAAGCAAACATTAACAAACCGAACCACACAATCTCTTTGTGCCATCGATTTATATGGACATGTAAGACTTTTCATTAGCTTCATGAGTATATAGTTGATCCAGAGTTTTTTTTTTTTTTTTTTTTACTTTCTTACTATTTCTTGCTTCTGTCCTTAAGTAAACAAACCTGTTCTTAAAGCTAAATTTATACTACTTCCTGAAATAGCAGTGGTTTCTCACAGCTCCTCAAGTGAGCCTCACACTGTCAGGAAAAGTAAGAACAGACACAAAATAAGTTTATTGACACCTCTGGTGAAGGACTTTTCAACATCCATAGTTATTAAAGATAACACTATATTTAAGCCCAGTTTCTCTGTCTCAGTGTTGACATGCTGATGCATTTTTGTGTGAATGCTGTGACGCATTTAACCTGTTGGGTTCCTGTTTCTCATTTTTTCTATGCATTTTGATCACATTTGAACTGGTTCAGCATAAAAACTGCAACAGCTACACCTACTCTTTAAACATGGTTTGCATTGTTCTATACCAACAGAGGAACATTTTATACACTGTATTTGATTAGTGAAGCCTTATTTGTTCTATTCAGAGGTCATTGAATACCCATTTAATGGATTTTTTTTGGCCTTTTGAGTCTAATTAAACTGGTCCAGCATGAACATTGCAAGACCTAAACTCTTCAGACTTGAACTGCATTGTCCTATACTATCATGAGAAACGTTCAAGCCCAGATTGTGATTTGTACAACCTTCATTATATTTATGGAGATGCTAAATTAATTTTCTGATGGCAGTCCTTTCAAGTTTCTGCACATATTTCAAATTTCTTCCACTTTTAATCACTTCAATCAAGCTTCGTATGCAGTTTGTTGTCTTCAACTTATCTACTGATCATTTTCTTTTTATTTATTTATGTACATATTGTACATACAATTTTCTATATGTTGATCAACTGACATATTTGCATTTATTTTACATTGTCAACTCTAGTTATATTTCATCTTTCAGCACAGACATTAAGCATTCCTGATTTCTGCAATGTCATATCATTTCAGCCATTTAAGATTCAATTTCTCCTTGGAAATTATGTGGTAAATACCCACCCCTATCCATGCACAATCTTTGCTGAGCAAACCTCTCTTGCTGCTACATAGTGTGATGGTGTAATTTCTGGGTTAATAAGATGTACTAGATAGGATGGTAAATTTGTTCATGAGTTTAAAAAAACAAGAGAAATGTATTACAGTATTACACTGGAATCATGTTGAGGTGCTGCTGAAGGTAAGAATAAAGCCTGACTGCCCTGCTTCTCATTAGCAGCTTGCCACGGCCCATTAAATGTTTGGTTTCTGCTGAAATTGAACTAACTCTGGACAGCAGCTCTCGGGGATACAAGCCTCCCTCTGATCAATACTCTGAGAACCAGAAGAGTCGCGGGGGCGATGCTCAGCCATGTCATCTACCTGAGCACTGATGCATGGCTAGATGAAGCTCAGCAGAGGCATACTGGTGAAGAAATGCTTCAGTTATTCAATATAAACCACATTTTGATGATTTTAGTTGATATAACAAGGGGGACTAAACCAGTCTCCGTCTGACCTAAGGCTGTGTGTTTCCACTCTCATTCAATAAAATTAGGTTAATTGAGATAATTCTTATCCAAAGGAACCCCTATTATATGGAACTTATTAGACTTTATGAAGGAAGGTGTTAAAACATCCATATAGGACAGAGCACAAAAAAACTTTTATTTGCCATTATAGATTTAAACTGTTATGTTATTTTTTCAGCTAAATTGTTTAGAACCGGGGTCTTCAAAGTTTTCCAGGCCAAGCACCCCTAAACTGATGGTGAGATGGAGCAGGGACCCCCTAATTATATATATTGTATGAAACTGTGTTATACCAAACTGGTCCTATAGTCACTCTATTACAGATGGAGTAATGTAACGAAAGTAATTTCACCCTGGGATTATTAAAGTGTTTCTGATTCTGATTCCTGGTTGATGGGACAGGTGTTGTGAATGAAACGGTGCCCAGCTTGAAAGAGCTCCTGTGTGTCGCTGAATGTGTGCATTGCTGACTGAAAGACATCTTCTGCCTCCATTTATCTGTTTACTACAGTCTGGTAAATTCAGGTTAATGTGTATTTAAAGACATTTCTATTTGTGGAAAATATTGCAGGGGGGAAAAAAAAAAAAAAAGTAATCAACCAAAAGTTTTCCGACCCCCATGCAGTACCTCCGTGGACCCCCTAGGAGTCACGGACCCCATGTTGAAGACCTCAGGTTTAGATTATAAAACCATTCAAATCAATGAAAACAATTACTTGGTTAAAAACAAATTTTTCAAATAGTGATATCCTTTATTGCAGGAAAAAAAGGCAATATAAACTAACCTGGCTGAGAAATGAATTGCCCCTAAAGATGAGTTTGGTTCCAGTCCAGACTTTGACTAGGCCACCATTAAACCTACATCCTCCCATTTAAAAGTTGGAAAAGATAACTTTTGGGTTTTTTTGTTACTTAAAAACAATAAAATGTATGATCCTTTGATATATCTAAGCAGATCATGTACTTAAAGATTGAATTAGACAGAAGTGATATTAATTGGAGGTATCCAGGTAGAACAGAGCTGAATGTATTTCTGCACATGTGAGGAAAGTTGTGAATGGGTCAGATGGATCATAAGAAGCTTTTGTTTAATACATAAGGGCCGCTGAATGAGAAATAACAGGCTGGAGATGGTTTCTGATACAAACCAATCTCTGCTCTATGGAAATTACTCATCAGTGTCAATTTGTTGTTCTCCTGTTGTGGAATAATTGATGCTCATTAAGCTACGAGGGTTTTCCATAACCTGCGACCGGAGATAATAGTTGATTAGCCGAAAGAACGCTCCAGAGGGAATTTTGAAATGAGCAATACTTCATTTTGCACAGGCTGCCGGAGCTGGAGGCAACAGCAGATGTGAGAAAAGATGATGAGTGAAGTTCACCCAATCAAAACATTGCCTTTAGTTTTCTGTCTCTATGAGAGCAACATTAGAAGCTTGTAATCTGAGTCAGGAGAGGACTGAGTGTGACAGATGAGACGAGTTGGAGAAGATGGAGCAAAGAGGGTAGATGTTGTGTTCTCTGCTGGCTGAAGGGACTGATGCCACCGAACGCCTGAGTGAAACTAGAGGACCTGTTCGCCAAACTCCTGTCAATTCCTGTAATTGGTCACCTGTCTGCTGCAGTTTACTTCCCAGAGTCGATACTCTGCAGTAATAGTTTTCCTCCTATCTATTCCCATTCCATCTTATATCAGCACAGACAGCATGTGGTGACTGCTAGAGTGTCTGTGTGAATTCACACACGCCCTGGATGGAGTAGAGGTGGAGGAATACTCCGCTGGGAGTTAGTTTAGCTTCTTCTCTTTAAATAAACTCTTCTGGAGAGTGATGCTGCAGACTTCATTATGTGGACCTACATCTCGTCTGACCTGGTGACAGGGAATCCAATTTCCAGCAACCCGCAAAGGAAATGATGCTGCCATGTTTGTTCAGCTTTAAACTTCTCTAATTGTCTCTAGCTTCACTGCTGCTCCTTGTTTTTTTCTCACCGTCTGCAGGCTAAATCTGAGTCTCAGTTTATCCAACAGTCTCTCTTCCAAAACACAGTTTCCTGAACCGAGCCTAACTTTAGCTTCATGAAAATATTAACTATAGGCTCGGCTTATTTTACTCTTGGCAAGTAAATTTTGTTTTTACTCATTTTTTCTTCTCTTTTTTTCCTGTCTCCCATTGTTACCACACACTATCCCGAACACTTGTCATATTTGATAGCAGGTTGTGTCTCCAAGGCCTCGTTGGCAGCAGAAATATAAATTTCACGTTTTTATTCTCACATCTTCGCTCGTCTCTGGTAAAGTGACAATAAGGGAAAGCTGTTTCCTCTGACTATCCTCCATCTCCTCTGGCATCTTGCTTTAATTTTCGTCCATCCGTCTCGTTTTGCTTTCCTCTGTATCCAATCATTCCACATTTGAACGTGAAGCTGGGATATTGAACATGTTTCAAATATTTTTTCATCTCTTTTTCAGGGCAGCTGGAAATTGCACCACCCACTGCAGCCCAGTTGAGATACGGTAAGGAGTCTGTTTATCTCATCCTCCCTAGAAGATCATGCATAATGTGATGAGTTCAGAATGAGCGTAAAGAAAAGGTCCATCCGTCTGTCTGTGACCCAAACCACCCTTTTGCTTTGGCAAAAAAAATTACTGCATCCTTGAATTAAATGTGACTAAATGTCACAGACTACATGAAGTCAAGTAAAATGTCTTAAACGCAGCTGTGTACAAACTGTGTGAAAGAGAAAGGGCCACTATTACATTGCCTATGGCAATACAAAAACATTTTTGGGAGAAAGTTAGAAAAATAATGGCAAAATGTATTATATAAAATATAGATAAAGCCTGATATAATGTAGATATAATAAGAAGGACTGCACTTTGAATATGTTGCACTCTTTAGGAAAAGAACTAATAAACTTTTCGCCAGAAAGAATAACACTCTGTCTGTTTTATTTATTTATTAACGAAGAAAAAAATAGATCAGAATTGTGTGACCCTGGTGTCATTTGATCCTGACCAAAAGCTCAGACCATGTGTTTATTCATTTATTATATATGTATGTGTAACTGGGATCCATACAAACTTAGTTCACCCAAGTGTGGCTGGTATTCCTGCTGTTAAAATATATGAATGGTTCCTTTGAAAATTCAAATAATATAAGTTACTGTCAGGGTTTGGCTGGGAGGGGCTAACTAAGCCCCTCAGAAACCATCCTGCTGATCACCTGGATCTGAAAAAGCTAAACTCATTGTTTGAGTTCAGCAGATGTTCTGTGAGGTTGACATCTGGACTCCTGGTGTTTTTCTCAGCCTGCTCTTTTATTCATTCAGCTTCAGGTTTAGTGAAGCTACCGTTGACTGATGAAGACAGAGCCTGATCACCCAGCCATCATCAAAGCATCATCATCAAACCCAGCAGACATTAACATTCATCACAGCTGGCTTTTATATTTTTATTGTTTCATCTGGGTATTTTTTTCATCTTTTATCCTTTAGGGTTTTTGTTATTGCAACAGACTTGATTTTGTTGCACCTATGATGACACAGATTTCAGATAATGGATGAAAACATGATAATGCGAGTATTGCAGGCTAACAAAGAACCAAAACAACCCCCCTTTCAGCATCAAACTCAAAGCTTATTCTGGCATTTTGAACTAAAAAAGCTTCCTGGATGGGAAGCAAAATGTCTCCAAACTTGAAAAAAAAGTCGAGTGGATTGTTTTTATTAAAAACTTTTTTGGAATGATCATGACCTGGATGACCGAGAATCTTCACCAAAAAAATGATAAAATTCTTCGGCTTTTATCTGTCTGAGCTGACAAAATAAGAAGATACCTTAAATTCAGTTTAAGTATATTTCTATTAGCTTATGAAAATATAAAGAGATAAAAAATGACAATGATAAAAATGTTCTGGTGTGTCTAGACAGTTATAGGAGTTTTGGGTTATGGAGGCTGCTGCAGTGAATCAGGCAATTTAAATGGAGCAACAGTTTTTAAACCTCATGCATAATCCTCCTATTTTTCTTTCGTTACGCTTGAATATTTAATGAATATTTTATGGCTTTGTGGTTTTATTTTAAAAATAAACTACAATCTAACATAAACAGTACAGTTTGTTTGGTGTTTTTACAATCTATTGGATCACAGAGCAGAAAATGAGAGAATGCAGATTACGGCTTCATCAACTAGGAATCTATAACCAATCTGTCAGACAATAATGACATTATGTTTATTCATATGACCTAGCTTTACTTTTTTTTTTTTCAGTGAGCCACTGTAACAACTTCTAGGATTTCCTGGAAATGCTTTAGGATTGATGTTGGGTTTCTGTTCTGTCAGAAAGGATTTAGTGAGACATTATATGTTGAGTGTCCAGAGAAAACGGGGATGGCTCCTCTGCAAAGAGCTTTGTGTAAACGGGAGGAAAGAACGATGAATACTAAGAATCCAGTGAGGAAAGCTCAACCCGATGGTGGCATTAGAGGAAAAGTCAGGAGCTGACAGAAATGGGTTCATTTCAGTCTTAAAATGGAAAAATGATTAAAAAATACATCAGAAAGTTATTATTATTCAGAAGTGCATTTACTCACTTCACTGAGTTCACTAAACACAGACTGATGTTATTAACCCTTTTATTTCTGTTAATAGTGATGGTTTCCTCCTAACAGCCATTAAAATAAATATAGAAGACTATAATTGAAAAATAACAAATTAGACAAAATAAATAAAGCAAGACTTTCTGATTTACGGAAAGTGCCTGATCTTCAAACAGGAAATGGATTTAAACTAGGGCTGCAACTAAAGATTATTTTGCAAATCGATAAATCTGTCGATTATTTTTCCAATTAATCGATTAATGATCAGATATTAAAAGGTTACTTAAAGAATATTTCCACAAAGTTAAACCAGGGGAAACTAAAACGGTTCCACTTGAGGAGTTCTGGATAGAACAGATTGATAGATGAAAATGTCGGGGTTTCTTTTATTTTCAATGTAAAATGTTTATATATATATATATATTTTTTTTTTTACAATTTTGATATATTTGCTCTAAGTGGGTCACTCTGTCAGCTAAAGGCACGTGTTTTTCTCTATACTCCAACTAATGATTAACCGATTATAAATTAGGTGACAGTTATTTCAATAATTGATTCATTACGATTAATCCTATTAATTGTTTCAGCCCTAATTTAAACCATTTAGTTTCACTCCATTTCTTTATATCCTGAAGCATAGAGATCCTGTTGTTTTAAGAGCCACAGACCGACATGAAGCCGCAGTCACAAACAAATCCTTATCGCCTTAATCGCCAAACAGATGATAAACCTTACTTAAATTCTAGTTTCTACGTTTTCCAGACAGCTGTCCCACCCTGATTGATTTCACACTTCTGTCCCGCCGCTTTCATCCAGTGTGTTGAGATGAGAACCGCCTGTGTTGTGACACCAGTCTGTGTAAAGAGTCACGCTTAATTTTTCTACCAGATCAGAGTGATGAAATAAAGCTTTGAGCCACAAAGGCGATGGGAAGGACTGGTGTTATTTTTTCAGCAGTCCCATTTCATAAGAAGAGCTACCGTATCTGGACCGAAGCTCACTCTGTTAAACTTGAACCATAATAATCTTTCTCAAAGTGGGTCAGGACATCTTCAAAACTCATTTCACAGTAACTTCGGAACATCAATCTGTTGTGTTATTGATTCATTTTGTTCTTACAGAAGAACAGCAGTTGATAAAATGAACACATATTTTGCTCTGCTTACAATGAAACTATGAAATCTGAAATATATTGAATCTTTATATTTAATTCAATCAAATCCATCTCAAAGTTTCTAGTTTTTATCTGGCTCTATTCTCTGAATTAGCGCTGAAACAATGAATCGGATTAATCGATTATTGAAGTAATCTTCAACTATTTTAGTAATTGATTAATCGTTAACTGGAGTGGAGAGACTCTAAAACGTGTCTTTAGCTGACAGAGCGACTAACTTAGACAAGTAATCGCACCAAAATTGTGAAACAAATATCTGAACATCTTGCATTTAAGATAAAAAAGAATTAAAAAATCAATCTGTTCTATGCAGAACTTCACAAATATAAAAGTTTTAGTTTTACCTGGTTTAATTTTGGGAAAATCTTTAAGGAAGCTTTTGCTATCCAATTATTAAGCGATTAATCTGAAAGCTAATCAACAGATTAATCGATTTGTAAAATGATCATTAGTTGCAGCCCTACTCTGAACATGAAGATAAGCAGGAGAGGAATATTCAGCCTGATTTGGATTGTTTCATAATCCAAAGTTTATTCAACACTCAGCTTAAATAAGCTGTTTAAGAAAGACTAGATAACTTGACAAAATTACCAAATTATGTCAGAATTTCTGTCCCTAAAGCCAAGGCTGAGAAACATTTAATTTAATAACTGGAAATAGAGCAGAGAGAAAGGGATTCATACCATCCTGTGGTGAATCATAAGATGCTTGGAAGGACAAAGAATGAGTCCGTTCCACTGATCCATTAATGTCACCCATTCACTGGTGCTAAGCTCATTGTTTACTCACACATCAGTAATTTGTCTTTGCCGTGTCAATTGTTTCTATACGAGCTGCTTCCATGGTGATAATAAGAAACTTTATTCAATAATCTTTGGGAACCCCTAAAAGTGAGAAAAGGGATTTATATTTTCTCTCTGTGATCCATTGGTATCATTATCTTTAAAACATGTGAAATCCAATCATAGTGCTGCATAGTGGTAAAACTGCAGGTTTTTACCTGGTAGAGATATTAGCAGCAGCATGCATATCATGCTAAACTGATCCCAGATCAGCAGAAGGCGAAAAACACAACTATGAGTTCTGATGGGGAAAGGATTGTTGAGTTTCTGAGTATTGATTAAAATAAAAATCAGTTGATTTTTATTTTAATCCATAATCAGACGTCTACTTTGTTATGCTGGAAAGACGTGTGTGTTCCTGTCAGCTTTGGTCTGATGATGATTTTCTGTTTGTGTTTTTTTTTCACAGTGCTGCTGCATAACGCTCTTCCCTTTGTCGGGTTCGGATTCTTGGACAACTGCATCATGATTGTTGCTGTAAGTGTTTAACAATGAATACATGGACTTTACAGATTCCTGGAGATGCTTTAGTCAGGTTTTTGGTTTATTTAATAGGGTGTGATTATACCTGGGGACAGTTGGACAGAAACTTTCTGCTTATTTTGCCTCAGACTGAAGGCTCCTAGTTTTCATTGTGTTGATGAAGATTTCCAATCTTCCAGGTCATAGTCATTCCGTAAAGAAAAACAATCAACTGGACTTGTTTTCCAAGGTTTAAAGACGTTTCGCTTCCCTTCCAGGAAGCTTTCTCAATTCAAATTTGAATTGAGAAAACTTCCTGGAGGGTCTGAATATCAAATAGAAATTCAGGACAGGTCATTTATCTCAGATTATGCTGTTATCCTATTTTTATTTTTTTTATTTTAAGTGTTCTTAAATACTTTGGTTGTTTATACTATTAATTGTAAAGTGTGTCATAGAAAACCAAGGAGTTATTGTAAATTATTTAAATGGCTTTGAAGTTACTTGCATTGTCATTAAAGTAAAAGAACTATGAACTGGATGAGTCAGCATTCACCTAAACTTCATGCTTAATAAACATTTCTCATTTTCTTTTAGTTATTGCCATTTTGAAATGTCTATAAATGCTTTGATGCTCTATGAATTATTAAAGAAAAAGAGCAACAGAATAAAATCAAATTTAAGTCTTAGCCCACTAGTGAGATTTGCTGTTTTCAGGAGACGCTGAGGGCACCCCATGTGGTCTTGAGGGCCGCTTGGTGCCCACAGCCACAGTGTTGGTGACCTCTGGGTTAGAATATCAAGGAAACAAATGAAAGCAGCCTCCATTCATCTGCTGTGTTTTTTTGGTTTTCTCAGGGCACACAGATTGAGTTATCCATCGGTGTGGTTCTTGGAATTTCAACCATGGCAGGTAAGAGAAAATCATTTGCATTTGCCATCCTTCATTATTTAGCTGTTTTTTTTTTGTGTTGGTCTTTTAGTCTGTTTTTTTTTTTTTTTTTTGAGAAAGTAAATCTCTGTAGAAATATCTTCTCTGGTTTGAGCCAATTAAGCATAAAACAGAGCAGGATTTCTTGGTGCATCTGTGTAATGATTATGCTGTTTGCCACCTCCAGCAGCTCAGAGGTCTGATCCTAGTGCATAAGAACTCGCGTTGGAGTCGATGTTGGACTATTTTGTTGCAGTAGCAATTGATCTGCTGATCTTTTGTCTTTTCCCCCTGAGGGTTTCTGTGTTTCTGCCGTTACAGCTTTAATAATACTTGACATTCAGGGTCAGAAACAGCTGAGATGACAACAAGCAATGCAAAGCCTTTATTTTCCTACTTTCCAACTAATATTCAATGAACAGAAATGAATATACAGCTGAACCCCCCGGTGAGAGAAAAAGAGACTTCAATACTTAAACTCTCGTTACATTTTTCCAGGAGATTATATGAGATTTAAACCATTTATGTGATATATTAAACATATTTTAGTGTTTTTCTGAAATAAAAAGAACAAAAAATACCCAATGGTTTCTTGTTTTCACTATATTTTATTATAAACCCCCCCAATAAGGGTTAAATCTGATTATGTATATAAAGGTTAGGAGTCCTCTACAGAGGTTGTGCTTTGCTCTGAATAGAGGGATTGTTTATCTTTCATCTTCCTCAACCCACAGTTTGATTAGCATCTTTTAATGACATTACCAGTAGAAATCTTATACTTTTTGCCTGTCATCAGCAAGAAGTGGTGATCGCTTCTCTTTTCTCACTTTTTTTGCAGCTGCTGCCCTCGGCAACCTGGTTTCTGATCTGGCAGGACTGGGGTAAGAGTTTCACACAGGCCGCAGGAATCTGAACAGTTTCATTACATGTTTGGGCCACAATAAACATCTGTAGTTGCCTCTGAAATATTCAACTTTTTTTTTTACTGATTTAAAGCAGAGTAAAAGAATCTAAAGCTTCACAGTTAGAAAATATAATAACCACCTTTGATAGAGTATATTTATTTCTTTAGCTAATCTGTTTAGCGCCTCCTAGAGGCAACATTACCCGTACATCAAACACCAGTATCATGTAAACTAGAAAACAGCAAAGATTGTGGCTAAAGTTTGGTTTTTAACATATTTTTGTGTTTTTCTTAAAATATAAAATTAGATGCAGCATGAGAATGTAGGTCGTTTTGAGCCTGTCAAGTTAAAATATTAGTCAGATTGCTTTTAGACTCTCTGTGGGCTCATGCCACTTTGCTGCCATTCAATCATATGACAGAAAAGAGTCCTGGTGGTCCGTGTTTCAAGGTGAGGCCTAATGAAACCTTTTTCTTTACCGTTTTGATGGATTCCTGTCAGTAGGTAATGAAGGCTTTTTATGTGGTTCTGAGCAGAGCTCCCGAGAGCATTTTAATGCATTTGGTTGCAGTTAGAGCAGGATGGGTTCCTGTAGGATCTGCTCTTGAGTTTCTCTCTGAGTTTCTGGTCTTTTAGTCAGGTTCATGTTAAGGCTTCCAGCTTCAACTCTACAGCTGGAGGTCACTGGAAAAACAATCTAGAAATAAGTAAAAAAAAATAAAAAAATCTTTGAATAGGTAAATGAGATAATTTGCCAATCAAATGAGTATTTTTACTCTTAAAATAAGATAATTACATAATATGCACTTGATATAAGGCAATACAATTGTGTTTTCTTATTTTAAATCTAAATTGTGGCAAAATGTCTCTTTTAATCACCTCAATTCAAGAACAAATGCACTTATTTTAAGAAAAAATTACTTATCTAATTTTTTTTTTTTTTTTCCAATGCTGGAAAAGATCCCAGAAAAAAATGTCCTTGGAGCTTATAAGTTTACATTACGGTATCAAGAGGAAACCGAAAAAAACAAAATCTAATTTCCATTAAACACTGATCGCATGGCTAATTGGATGTTATTCCAATTCCTTTGTTTTTAGTTTTAACATAAACCTTACTTACTTTTGCTTCCATTCTTCCCTGCTGGACATTTTTTTCTGATCTTGCAAATCTCTGACTCACCTGAGTTTATCAGAGTTTAAATAATAAAAAAATAATGCTTTGTATGCTTTATAAGGGAACCAAAATGCGTACATATGTAAATCAAATGTTTTCTCTACAAATGGCCAAAGTTATAGAGCTGATGCAGAGCGCTATGATCACTCCTCTGAAACAGTTTAACGCCTAAATTAACTTAAAATATCTTTTACTATGCTGGTGCCTGCAGTTTGTAGCACATACCAGAATAACGCTAACATCTACTTCCAGCCGCAACCAACAGTATGGGAAAACCCCCAAGATGGGACCGGGCCTGAGGCTGCTTTTCTCCATATGAGTGGTTTGCAGATTTTGGTGCATGTTTTTCTTATTTATTCATCTCCAGAAGCTCACAGTCGACTTTAAATAAACTGTAGCTGTCAAAACATTCACCGCATTCCCAGACTCAATCCTATTCCTATTTTCAACAAAAGCTGCTCCAATCAGGAAACACTATCTTGTTTTTTTACAGACTTTGTAGCATTCATGCACCAACGGATGACAGATAGGCTCTCCTAAAATCAGCATTGTCAGTTTTTAGATGCCACTTTAGTTTATTATTCAGCTCAAAAAAGACTTTAAACCAGGAGAGGTATTGATTGCAGGATAATTAAGATAAAACCTGTCACAATCCAGCTGCTAAAACAATATTTCATATATTTTGAAGTACATTTTAAAACACACAGAATGTTTGATTTACATTTAGGCATTACAGTTTAAATATCAGAATCTGTTAATATTCACGATTAACTGAGAAATTTCTAAAGACTGCGAGTATTTCCAGAACCAGCATATCCTGTGAACCCAGTGACTGTAAGCAGAGAAGGAACAAATTGGTTTAACTTTGCTCATTAAAAATGTCTCCTCCTTTTTGTTTGAATGCATCAGCCTGAAGGAACAGCAAACACGTGTCCATAGATTCCTCAAAGTTTCTTATAATCAGGGCTTCATCTGAATAATTGATGTTAAGGGTGAGAGTTCTTATATCAGTTTGCATCTCCACACTGAAGAGTGTTAAATTGTTTTAACATAACTGTGTCTACTGATCAGCCCAGTCCACTGCACATTCACTCTATTCTACTCCTCAGCTGATTTCTGGGTAAATCTTTACTGAAATAATCAAAATTGTTAGTTTTTAACTTTTACTTGTTTTTGTTTATCTTTTGAAATATGGCCTGATCAACGTATAAGAGATCAAATGAGTATTTTTTTACGCCGATGTCTTGGAATGAGTTCTACCTGCTTCTAACTGACAGAATCAAATTGGGCTTTTCTTAAATAAGCAGCAGGGTCTGGGTTTGCTGCAAAGCTCAAAGTCTCTAGTGAGGTTTTGCATTTATAGGAACGCTTCCTGTCTCTGTTGAATCACATTCCACATTCCTTTGAAAAAAAAAAAAAATAAATAAATCTGAGGAATATGATGAAAAAAAATGACCCCCTTTTTGGTGGGTATAGTGCATAGTGGTTTGTGTAGATAGACCTCATCTTTCTCTGTGTTTTTCCACTTGGTACATTTTTCCATGGACAAATGTAAGGAAATGGATCTGCTAATACAATTTAGCTCATGACTCATTCTGACCAGTGAAGCTCAGTGGTTGAGATGCTGCCATCGGGTAAACTCCTGGCTGCTGTTTGCATTTCTTATGCACACAGTACATCAGCGGCTTTCTGGGGCAGATATTCCAGGCCATGTGCGTCGCACCTGTGGAGGATGGATCACACACACTTTGCATATTTGAAGTCTGGAACACCCACACTTCTTTGTCTTAGTTTCAGTCAAACTGACTCAACTATTAAATAGTACGCTTTATGTGAGACAGGTCAGTATCCACAGCAGTAGCCTCTTCAGAAAGGAATTTGATTCTGTTTGCTCTGCTGTGTCTCAATCAGCACTGGATCTATAGGCAGCAGCATCTGTGTAATGCTTCCCTGCTCTAAGCTAAAGGAGTGTGCTCATGACTGTACAGCGTTCCATACTTGCCAACTCTCTCAATTTATGTGGAAGACTCACGATTTTTAATGTTATCACCTGCTGAGCTCCAGATCAGTCCCCTAAGCCCCCCGCAATTTATTCATCCGTTAGAACATTTAAACTCATTATTAGTATGGAGTAAGTTATTTCTCCCAGCTGTCTTTGAACACACCACAAACATACATAATGTTAACCCAGAAGATGGATATGAGACAGGATGCTGAGCAGACTGAACATGAGCATCAGGATGTTTAGCAAACCAGCCAGCAAGATTTTTTTCTTTTTCAAACAATCCGCTTAAGTTTTGTATCATTGTTAGCAACTTAGACTAGACATTATTTGCTGGTTAGTTTAGTCTTGGAATAAACCAAATCCTCTTTCATTTCTGGGCAGCCTTAATGCCTATAGTTGCTCTCCTCAGATGTCTTTTGGTCACAATAGAGAGAAGAGAGTCAGGGTAGAGAAATAAAAAAAAATATCCATGGCATAAAAGCGACTTTAAAGTTAAAATTTTCACTCAAACATCAATGTCCTTTCATGAATATATTAACAAATATCTTCTGCAAAATGTCGTGAATTACTAAAGGCATCAAGTCCACTTGAGACTCATAAAAAGAAATAATCCAACAGGAAGACCAGGTCAGTTTGGACTTCGACTATTTATCAGCCTTGGTATGGGCACCACAGTAAGAGATTAATGATGAAGGTGAAAAAGCAGTTTGGGAGGGCAGGGAGGCCAACATGCACACAGCTGATGCAGACGCATCTGTTAGCAGCCATGCTCCATGTAACAGTTTGTCAGAGAGGACAGGCTATCACTGCAGGAGTGGATTCAGAAATTATAATATTATTGCTTTCTTTCTTTAGTTGTGGGTCAGCACCATGAAGAACCGTGTGGACCGTGTTCCATATGTTAGAATTGATAAATAAATGAACACTTAGTCTTCTTTTATTAAAGCATTAAATTATACATATAATATTTTATTTTATCTTCAGAAGCAGTTAAACACAGCTTTTCACACTTTTTAGGCTACTTAGTAATTAGCAGTTTGATCAGTTTGGATCATACAGATTATTGCCAGCATTCGTCAGCTACCCAAGCCACTCCACTTTTCTTTGATGGGAGAACCAATCCCCTTTGCTTTCCTGTAGAAAAATTGAAAAGCTTAACAAGGGATGCAAACAAATAATCAACTGATGATTAATGATTTATTAGACTTAAATTTGTTCCATCCGATCCAATTAATCGATAAAGTGTTTCAAAGGAATTTCTTTGATGTTGTGGTTTCACCATCCTGAAAGCGCTCACCTGCGCGTTCACGACGCTACGGAAGCCGGCAGACCAAACCAGATGAAAGTGCGCATTCAGCATCTGCTCTGCCGATAATGCAAGCGTAGAAGAAGAAATGTGCTGTTTACCTGTGCAAAGAAAGAAACAACGAAAGAAAAATGTCTGAGAACTTCAGTGTTGAGGAAGAGCATGAGTTCTTTGCCGAGATGAATGCTCACTTTCATCTGGTTTGGTCTGCCGGCTTCCGTAGCATCGTGAACTCGCAGGTGCGCGCTTTCAGGAAATCCTATACACTACTGTTTATGCTCTAAAAACATTCTAAATGACTTCGTTTCAAGTAAATTCTGGATGCTACCCACTCAGGACACTTGGAATACTTTGGACGAGCAGTATGGAGGAATATTGACACGTTTTTTGTGGACTTTTATGGACCTTTCTGTCTCGGGCACCATAGACCTCCATTATTTGAATGTCAGCAGACAGCAAGAAGTCTCCCAGATCTCCAGATGCATTTGAGATATCAAAAAAGTACTCCAGGGTGTTGTTCAGCATGGGGGTGAGTAGAAAATGAAGGCTAATCATGTTTTGGGTGTGCTATTCCTTTAATTGGCCTTTATGTGATGCAGTTATAGAATCCAAAACCTTTAAGGTTTATAATCTGGAAAGATTCTGTATTTATAGAACCAGAGCAGAATCTGTCCTAAGAAGTTTCTCTCTAACTTGATGAAAGTCCTCCCAGTCTCAGCACCTCAGAGCTGCTCCGCTATCGTCTTCCCGATTCGCCATCAGGCGACCAACTCGACAGCTCCAGCTGCAGCTCATTTGTGTGAGCAGTGAACTGAGAATCCATTAGTCCCAGTCACTGATTCAACCCACAGAAACAGCATGTCAGAATATTCACTCTGATTTCTTTCTCTCAGATGTTAACGCCTTCATCTGTTCCAGACGCTTTGAGCATCAGACCGACATCTTCCATCACCCATGAATTTGGTCATAGCGTGGTTTCTGGATGTTTTTGTGTCTGTGTTTGGTCATGCATTGATATTAGCTAGTAATTATGCCCTTCCTTTAGTTGCTCCTGTCCAGGAAACCTTTGAATTTATCCAACTAAAAGCTTCTTAATGAAGCTCCTACTCAGTTATCTATATATCTGACAGAAATCTACTTTATTAAAGTTTGAATTTCCAGTTTTATTATTATTTTTGATTGGGATTCAGGACATTTTTCCAGTTTTGAGCTGCTTAATGCTGTGCTTTTACTGCAGCGTCTCTTTGATCTGAGACATAAGTTTCTATCTTAACCTCTTAGTGGAAATTGCGGGACCTGATAAACACAAACATGCGTCTTCATTTTCTAAAGCTGTTCTGAAACACATCTGAATGGTGACGAAAGCTAAAAAGAAACACCTGAATTGCACAGATACAATCTCCTATCAGTGGAGTATTATTATCTGTCTGCTTTTAATAGAAAGGGCCCAACTGGACCAAATGCGACCTTTGCTTTTATTTCCTCTTTTCCACAAACTCACCGGATTTTATTAAGAAACATCATAAAAACAGAGAATGTAGCTGAATGATGGAGTTCATCATTTATACATCAGCATGGAATGACTTAGTGCTTCACATCAAACAGAACTAAATTAACCCAGTTTGGGAGGAAATGATGGATTTAATTCTACTCCAGTTGATTTTTTTTTTTAATTCCCAGATGTCTTTGCTAAGTAATTTAAAACACCAAACTAAATTGATTTATTTCTACCCACCAGGCCTCTTGTCTGATTTCTCGCTCTTGTTTGAGGACATCCTGCTGCATTAATAACAGATTTAAGCCTCGGCGAGAGCTTTATTTAATCATCACGTTCTTTTCCACACACCAAAACGATTCTTCTTCAGTTTAATGAATTCTAACATGCAGCTAAGATTATAAAAATGAATATGGAACTATGCATGTACAAAAGCATAACAATTATGTCAATTTTAACCTGTTATAAAATCAGCATTTTCCAAAATCCATGTTTTTTCTCTGCAGCTCTATTTATGAAATTAAATGCCTGCCCTGCTAAACCCTTAAAGTTTCCTTTTCTTCTTCTCTCCAGGCTGGCTGGTTACGTGGAGGCCTTGGCGTCTCGACTCGGCATGCAGATTCCCGACCTGAGCCCGAAGCAGGCGGACATGTGGCAGACCAGGGTCAGCTGTCACACGGTTCGTACCACGAGTTCTCTGAAGTAACGGAGATGAGGGAAGCTGCTTCTGGAAGCATTTCCATCTAGGCTTCAGTTGCTTTTTAATAGACTATAAACTCTTCTCACCGCATATTTATTAGGCAATCAGTCAGTCAGGCTGAAAGGAAATGATTCTAATCTGCTGCTGATGGGGTTTAAGATTAACCACAGAAAACATGGTTAGGAATCTACGGCTCTGTGCAAATAATGGTTAATAAATTGTTTTTTATAGGATTTAATGTAATAACAAATAGGGTAATTAATTACCTAATCTGTTACTGAAATAGATTATAAACAATTAATTGTAATAAATCAGTTCAACTATGATCCTACAAAATCCAAATAAGCTATATAGAGAAGTGAAAGCAAGACCCTTTTAAATTTAAAGGATTACAGAGAATTTACTGATCACCACATGGATTATAAAAGGCTGACCTGATACAGGCTCCAGAATGCAGAAGATGTCGGACTATGCTGGGTATGCTGAGCTATGTGATCCTAAAATCTAGGATTTCTGGACTAAATTCACTTCATATGTCATCTCAAGGCACTTTACAGAAAATACAGTCAGATTGGTTAAAAGTTTCCATCAAAGAAAACCAGGTGATTGCATCCAGTCACTGAGATCAATAACGGGACATGCTCCTCCTGGATGAGCCTTTATGGATTCATGAAATCAGTTGTCCTGCCATTATTTACATTTTTCATCCAATAATGCTAAATGGGTTCAGACTGCCTTGCTACTTGGGCAAAACTCTTTATTTCACAGAGGAAGAGCTGGTTATAACAAAGAGTAGCAGCTGGCAGTACTGGCTGCACTGGGATGCCTCTCATACAGACTGCTGGATAGAGGGGAGAGCTTTCACCTGAAATGGGGTCCGCAGCTTTCCAAAATACAATGAATAACCTAAAGATCAGAATGGAATGAGCTACACAGAGCTACACTGTCGCTGCGTGAGGAATAATTCAAGTCTTATGAAGACAAATGCCAGGCTTTTTGGTGGGTTATTTTGGGGGTTTTCTGCTTTTTTCTTCTTCCACTGCTCTTTTATTGTACTGAAGTTGATCTGTTGTGATGTGTTTGAAATAGAGTGGGGTTCTGCGAAACGTAATCAAATGTTAAACACAGAAAAAGGAATAATTGATTTATCAATAATAAATAGGTTAATTGATGGAGCAGTTGGCAGATTTGGGAAACCTTCAGCTCCAGGCTGATCAGAGCAGCTTAGTAGACCTCTATGTGTAGCTGAAGGATTAGTGAGATGGTGGGACATTATGTGGACTGATTAGATGATTCTCCAGTACTGGACTCAGTACTCTTTGAAAGCATGGAGGTATTTCTCCTACTAGGCTGCCAGGCTGATTTACTGCAAACCAGCAGTAATAGCTCAGTCCCCATGCATTGGAATGCTAGAGGGTGCTTAGCATTATGCTTCAGAGGAAGCTCTGTAGAAAGATGGCCCTCTCTGAACACACCAGTAGCACCTTGGTTCCTGACCAACCAGCTTCGGATCATTTCCGACTAAATCAAATACTAGATTTTAAAGAAGAGGAATGAAGCCACACTCCTTTTTAACACCCTAATGTTCAGCGTTGCTCACTTTCTGTACCATTTTATTTTTATAATTTCATTTCAGAATGAAAATAAAATGGAGCTGTAAAGTGAATAGTGTTTAAGTAAACTGCTTTGACCTATTGCTGCTCTGCTTGCCTGCAGGGTAAAGCCATTGGCGTCGGCATCGGCTGCATCCTCGGCATGTTTCCTCTACTTTTCTTCTCCGATGATGATGAGAAGAAGGACGGACAGAAGGAGACGAAGGTTGAAACTCCACCTGCTCCGACAGCCGGCAGCAAAAACTAAAACTGATTATTGTTCTGTGAAAACGGGCTTTTCTCCAGACTCTTCCCATTAAACCAAACTATTCAGAGGATTTTACATAATATGTTTGACTAAAGCACAGAAGACTGGTCATGTGTTCAATGCAGCTAACTCATCCACCATCATAAGACCTGCTGATCTCATAGGTCTAACCTTTCCTTTGAGTCGGTTCAATCAATAATTACTAAGCACTGACTGTATAGCAGAAGACGGTAACTTGGCTGACTGAACGTCCAATGACTGTTCAAAGACGCACTTAGACATTCAGATGCATTTTTTTGTTGTAAACCTGCGTCTAACTTTGCCTCATGCATGTACTTTATTTCTCTGTTCATTTTATGCATTGTTGCAGCTCTCTGTTTTCTAATCAACAGATTATTCTACTACTTACCGGTAATTAAGAGTTAAACACATCATAGATTTTGTATAATTTATTTAGAGTGTGATAAAGTGATGATGTTTTATTGACTAGCATCACTTAACTCAAATACTCCTATATTTATATTACCTCCATCAGCTGAGCAGGAACTGCCTGGAGTATAACAACACTAACACTTCCTGTACCACAGTAATAATGTCAGCTCTGCTGCCCTCTGCTGGACACACATAGCAGCTAATCTAGTCTGTTCCTTTAATCAGTCCTGCTCATTATTAACCTGCGCTGTGGGGCTGATGTCACTTATTGTTCCCCACAGATTAAAGTTCACTTAGAGAAATGTTTATCTTTTTTTGCTCTTTATGTACATCTCGTATGAAGGCTTTTTATGAATTAATTTCTGTCTTTAAGGTGGAATTGAAGGAAGTGATCAAATTCGGTGCGGTGAAAAAGCATTTGCCTGCTTATAGAGTTCTCCAGCTTTTATTGTCAGAGGTAACCTGAGTAAAATAAAAGCAGGGAGGGGGTTTAGGGCGGCGCTGTGACCCTGTTAGCTTCATTTAAGATGTAGAACTTCATTTTTTTAGGTCATTTTACAGCGTTTGGTATATCCATGCTCTATGTCGGCATACTTTCTTAAACATTCACTTATGTCACTTTAGGGTCTAATCTGTCGCTTATTTAGCTAAAATAAATGTAGAAACCTTTACCTGTACATTCCTTTTTCGAAAAGTGTCAGAATCAAGAAATCCCTTCAACAATATCTTAACAAAACACCTAATTTTCTCTGGTTTAAAGAAATACAAGAACTTAATAAAGGGAATTAATTTTACTGACAGAAGTGCCCTGGAATGGCCTAGTCAAAGTCCAGATTTAAATCAGACTGATCTGCAGTGATGTGACCTTAAATAGATAAGCGATGCTCAAAAGGTCCTCAAAAGTTACTTATTATAAACCGCAAAACTCTAAAATAGTCTATAAGTGGGCAAATGATTTCACCAAGCACAGTATTTCTGCTAGGAACTTTATTTATTTATGTTCTGTTATTTATTTAGTTTGTTCCAACTGTGTTATTTTTACCTAGAAAGAAAATAAGGCATCAAGACTTATGCACAAAATGCATTTTTCTTCTAGGCAGAAGGACCTTTCAGCTGAATGATCTGCTTTGCAGCTGATGATTAAACTAAGTACTGTCTAAAAAAAAAACTGGAAGTAGAGAGAAGGTGTGTTTGACTGTTTTAACTTTGTACTGTGTGGATAATACAACTTCTAACTAAACATAAGAACAAAATGTACAGAGAAATGTATGCATTTAGGGACCTTCTTCATGTTCAACTTGCATGTGTTATAAAATTAAAGATAAATAAAAGTGTATATCCCTCCAAGGTTTGCAGCACAATTTAAAATGGGGGGTGAATAGAGATGGGGTTTAATCAGGCTGAACCTTAGCATGCAAAGGTTGCTCTTTTGTTTTTTTCAGCACTTTTTGTGATCCTGACTCATCTGAGATTTGGAACATTTGGGTTAAAATGTTGCATAAAAAAAGACATCGCTCAGGTTTATGCCGGCACTGATGATGCGTGCTTTAAAAATGCTCCAGCTGTTAGCAATATGTTTTAATTGTTCTTGTTTGCACAGAAAAAGAAAAAGTCAATGCCAACAGCTTCCATGTTCTATCAAACATTAAATTTTCCTGTTTGGTCTAAAGGTGCAGCCCATTTCTCAGTTTGATGAAAATGGCTGAATAATATTTCCACATGTTTGAATTTACCTTGAGGATTTCTAATAAATGATCCAATCCTTCTGCTCCAAAGACAGGATTAAACTTACGTTTTCTCTCTGTTAATCCTAGTTTGCTTTTTATCTAAAAACTAACCTGAAATATAAGCCATGTTATTGTGTAGTAAAAAAAAAATATATATATAATTAGGTTTTTTTATCTGAGTCCATCACTGGGAAAAATAGATAAGAAAATTCTAGACGTACACTTCTTAGTGTTGTTTTAGAAAATCTAAGGATACGGATCTGAGCTGCAAGGAGAACTCGGATGAAGCACATTAATGTGAAAATCCATTTTTCACATCAAAGGCAGTTTGAGTTTGAGTGGGTAAAACAGCCAAAGCCTTAAAGGTCCAAATTAAATTCAAAAGCAAGTTAAACTCTGAACTGGGCCGAGTCTCTAAAATGAGCTCTCTGCTTTCAGAGCTGTATTTTCTGCAGACTTTCTGCTCAACCTTTGAATTTTATAGAATATTCCCAGTTGAACTTTCTTAAACTCATTTTCAGATAAAAGGCAGATTGACGACACAGGAAGTAAAAACCATTATCTGCTGGTAACTATAAAAACAACCAGTCTCAGATTAGTTTGTTTAAATGGTTGAAGTTAATCTGTTGGATTGTGTCAGAACTGGAAATTTAAGAAGGGCGGGTTGAGCAGCTGTGATGGTGAAGCAGTGGCCTTTCTAGGATGTGTCCCGCCTTTCATACGACGCCTGGAGATTAGCAGCGATGCATGGAGTTTACAAACTGCATCCAACAGCTACTTCTATGCTGCTTTTCCGGGCAACATAGATGATTTAGCAGATAATCTGTTTCTTACTTGGATTATTCACCTTTAATTACATTTGGTGAACTCAGTTTAATTTTTATTTTGCTTGGGGTTTTTTTTGGATCTGATTAGTTTTCTTGTGCTAATAATCTATATTTTATAGACAAGTTCTCTTGAACCACTTAACTCTAAAATATTAAACAATATGGGGAGCTGATGTGTGGATGCTGTAGGGCAGAGGTCTGCAACCTCTGGAGCCACTAGTGGCTCTTTTGAACCTCTATTATGGCTCCTAAACGTTTAAGGAACCCACTAATGGTTTAAATGATAGTATATTGACAAATACCATTCTTAGATACTTTAAACAAACAACAGAATGATTTTAATTGACCAGAAATCTATATATTTCTATTGATTAGTTTGGAAACTATGTGTTTCTTTTCTGTTACATCAATTAGTATCCTAAAGAGGGATATTTATGCTTCCAAGAAAAAATCTGTGTTTTTTTTTCCTTATTCTAACCCTGTAAAGCCTGAATAATAAAGGAATAAATGAAAACGATCATTAAACTTTCTGAAACGGTCATTAAACTTTCTTACAAAAAAAATGATTTTGAATCATACAAATTAGATTATTTGTCATCTGTGATACTTTAAACTTTTTATTCAATTTATTAGGGATTTTCTGTTCACTACATGAGTCTGATTGATATAAATCAGTCTTTTCAAGAACAAAAATAAAACTGATGATGCAAAGGTCTGAACAAAACATGATTCCTTTGGTGTTAAAAGGCTGGAAACTAAAAATGCAAATTAACTTTTTGTTTTTAAATAACATTACAACAGATTTCCTATAGCAGATATTAAAAAAAAAAATTGTTGTGTTTTATCTAAAGATCTAAATGACTTTTATTTTGATGGGCAGGGGGTAAAATGGCTCTTTGGATTTGAAAGGTAGCAGAATCCTGCTGTAGGGTTTGGATGTAACCGTCATGTTTGCTGTTATGATTACCTCAATGTGTTTCCCTGGTTGTTTAGAGATAACAACAAGCTGAGAGAGGATGAAAACAGAGCACACAGACAAACACCCACCCTGTTTCACAGGGGGAAAGAAGAGCGACACTCGAGACAGAGGTGGAGCCACTCTGAGGATCATACAGCTGGGGAAAAGCAACTCAGAGGTTTAAGATGCTGAAACGGATCAAGTCAGTGACCGTGACACAAAATGATGCTTGTTTATAGTTCAATGACACTTTATTTCACTTTAAGATAAATGTTTAACCGTTCACTCTTTCCTCTAGACCAACAATACTAAAATGGAGCAGCGGCATCATAAAATCAGTCTGCCAGACACTCTTCTAATCAGTGCACGAAGGTAACAAGTCTGCAAACGTAACAAATCTTCAACAGTGTTACATCATTCAAATAGCTGCTCATCCTGAAAACATGCAAACGTGCTTCACCGTCCTCCGCTCTGCTGAAACTTTACCCACATATACACAAACGGTGCTGTTGTTATTTTAGTAACAATACATTTAAAAGGTCCCCGTGTGTGGGGCCTGCTTCATTTTACATGCTCAGCCTTTCTTCAGGAGCCTGCATGCAATCAGCCTTAAACACTCAGAATAATGTTAAAAAAAAAATGAAAAACTACAGTGAACTGTGAGAGGTATAGGTGTGCAATTAAAGTGTAACACAATCAACTAAATTATTGTAATGCTTTTAGATGAAAAAAAAACTTTTTTTTTCATTTTTTTTTTTTTTGCTCGTTGCACCGATTACATTTATTAGAAAAGGTTCAATACTTCTTTTATTCACGTTAACCTTGATCATCCTCTGTTCTCGAGCCATTATTCAGCAACTGTCCATGAATGGTGCCATTTGGGCAACTGCCCAGGACGGCGTGTAAAGCTAGGGCGGCAACAGGTGGGGGAAAAAAAAATAAATACAAAACTTTTCAGTTGCATCTTAAACAAATTAAGTATTGCTTTCATTCAAGTGCAGGTAGCTGGAAGTTGGTGACAACAGGAATTTCTCTTACCCCCATATTTCCATTACTTTCTTATAGTTTGATTGGTTACTGGATGGCAAATCAAGGAACTAGGCAAGGTGACTAAAAACCACCATTGTCACAGCTTATCTGCATTCTGGACTCTTACTATAAACATGATTATTTAGCCCTTAACTCTGTGGATTTACACTTTATGGGTGGTAGAAAATGAATATATGGAACAAGCTGGGAAAAATGAGCAACAACACGCACATTTGCCCGAAGTGTAAAAAAGCCCAAACAACTCCTGTATGACACTCCTGAATTAAACAGTAAAAGTTGGTGTGCAAGTAAACTATAACCCAACAAAGTCTTTTTTAAGACGTCTGGTCATTTTAGATATGTCAATTTTAAAAAAGCTACCTATATAGACGTATCTAGAATTGTAATAAGCCTGAAGATAGCACCATTAACAAGCCCTCCCTCCCAATTTTTAAAAAGCCAAATTCATCGGCACCAGAACTAAAGTCACAACTCATCTGCAATCAAAACATGAACTTAAGTTTTAAATGTGCAAAAGTGGAAGAAAGGGTTAAAATAATGTCATTGTTACTAAATCTGTTGGAGGAAACTCTATTTTAACCAATTTAAGCTGAATTCATTTTTATTTTAGTTGAAAATATATATATTAGAATAGATGGTACGGGCAACCACCAGATGTCTCTGTTCAACCCTCCTACAGGGAATCGGTTTAAAAACAAACTCTTCTCTCCTCTGTCTGTCTGTCTGTCTGTTGGAGCTCAGTGATTCCTGCCTGATGACGGACAGTCTAAGCACGTTTTTTAGTCCAGCTAAACTTTTATCATGGTAACAGGTATCCAGCCCCGAACACATGATGATAGGAACATTAGGAACCGTATTATTGAATTCTTACCTCCTCCTCTGCATAGAAAGATATCCAAAAAAAGTGTATAAATTACATTCATTAACCTATAAAACATTGATTCACCAAGAAATATCCTATTTAACTTTTCTACCCATCATTCTGATTATTGGTGGAGATATAAATCCTCCTCTATAGAGAATGTGCTGCATTCACTGTCTGTTCTAGTTTTCAGCCCAGCCTACATGTCATTGAGATTAATACTGACCCATGTTGTCGCTGATATATGGTGCTGGCATGAAACTAAGAGCAGCTCCTCGTTCGTACAGTCAGCCACACAAAGCTACAACATTCTCTGGGTAGGGTGGGTGTAGCGGCTGCAGGCCGGTGCCCTCTCCTTTGTGAACTCACAGGGCAGCCTTTGTGTGGCACCACAGTGTGACCGAGTGCAAGCATGTCGGAGGAGAATGTGCATATTTACTTCCTTGTGTCTGTTTATAGACGAGTCTGTGTGTTTGGGTCGTCTCCCACTCTGCTGGCTCCCATCCAGCCGCCCGGGGAGGCGAGACAAAAAGGAAAGAGAGATCCGTTTTATCTTCTGATATCGGGGTATTGCTGCTGAAGCAGCCGCTGGGGTTCAGATGGGTGGCAGGGAGTGAGGGGGGTATGGGAGGGGAGACATTATGTCAGAGGTCCTCCTTACAGTCTGTGTGACTCCTCATCCTCCAACATGTCTGAAGGTTCCCATCATAGGAGGAATCTTCTGTGTTCTGACAGGAAAATAAATAGTGTTTGGTTCAAACTTTCAGCAGGCAGAGCTCTCTCCAAGAAAACTCCCAGCCTGGTTAAAAACGCTGTGAGGAGGGTTTCAGTTGATTTTGTCATTGTTGTTGGAGGGAACAGGCTGGCACTGAGCTGAGGAGGAGGAAGAAGAGGAGGAGGGGGGAGTCAACTTGGTGGCAGAGGGGTCTCTGGGTTTCTGTTTCCGATGCAGGGCGACTGCGGCCAGAATACTGATGATGTGGACATGGAAGTACATCGATCTGTGGGAAGAAAGGAGGAAAAACTAAATAGGACTCCTCTGCTGTTCCTCATGTGCTGTGAGGAGGAAGGTTAATCGTTTGGAAGATGTGAAGTAGCCTTTAGGGCTAAATTAGTCCACATAATTTATTCACACTCATTCAGAACAGGTCTGAGCAGATTTAAACAGTACATACCAGTTAGATAAACTAATATCTATGTTGGCTGATATTAGTGTTTTTTCTTGTACCTTCCAGTATGTGTATTCATTCACCATTTCACTGGTGGATTAAGCAGTTATGCAGATAATGTGAAGCACATGCATTGATGCTATACCTCCATTTTGCTGCAAGTTATTAAACTTCTTTGTTTTGTTTTTTTTGTTTAAATTGAGACTTGTGTTGCAAGTTATAAATTTATAATGGAGGAAGAAAAAGCTTAAAGATCTAGCTCCAAAGAATTTGGCAGCACACATCACTAAGACTGACATCAGAATAATAGATCCATCTGCATCGGTCGATCTCTACTCTCTAGGAACAGGCGTGGAAGCCCAAAATACTGATTGAATTATGCAAAATATAAAAATGTTGTTCTTTTAACCCTGGCTTTTATAAATCCTTCTAAGATTTGTAATGATTATTTCATTTCAGGATGACAGATGAACACATCAGCTAATCCTGCTACAGGCATTTAACCATAGATGGTTAATTTTGATGTACAACCTGAAGGAGCAACATCTTTTTATCAGTTAACACAGTGCCTTTTAAAGGTACATGAAACCTATTCCCACTTTGTCACGTTACTGATAAAAATCTGACCACTGCGGCGTGCATTTCTGTTTCACCCCACTTTCTTAGACCCCCTTATATAAAATACGGTGCAACTCTTTGCTCCACCAGTTTCAGTGGAGTTAAAATGTGTAGAATTTAAGGGTCTTTATAATAAGAGTGAAGATTAGTGAACAAACATCATGAAGAAAACGGAACACAGCCAAGAGGTCAGAGATAAAGTTATATCTGAAATAATATCTTAAGATCTGAACGCCTCAGAGCTTTGTTCAGTTCAGCTAAATATGCAAAGAGCAAACCTACACAGACATGTCCGTCCACCATAACCTACAAGCTGGACCAGAAAATTATTCATAAGAGAAGAGAAGCAAAGAGCTGGGGTCAGAAAAACTGCTATCAGTCTGTTCTAGCAATCAAGCCAATTATACCCCTTTGCCACTGGCTGAAAAACCCGTTTAAACCCAGAAACAATCAGCCTTAGTGGGAACAGCTCACTGACACGTGTCTAACCGGGTCAAACGACTCGGCAAGTGAGCCGCGTTAACAACGCCTCGGCTCTGATCGCCATGCTATGGGAACACCAGCCCCGCTTTAGCTGACTTATTTACGTGAACAAAACGCAACCTACTGACATCAACACACCGCGCCAGTTGCCTCTGATCTAACAAGTCGAAACAACTCTGTTAATATTCAATAAACATGGCGTAGCGCTAGTAAGAGGGATTAATGAACCACACTGACTACGCATTGGCTTCCTTACATGTTGCTCTTCATTGGTTAGTTTCCTGATTTCTGTCACATTAGTGACATCATCAGAGGCCACACACCTTGCCAGCGAGAGGTTAGATCCAGCTTTTTTTTTTTTTTTTGCCAGTAGAAAGGGAGCCAAATGCAGGTTCTTAGCGGGTCGATCCATGTTTGAAAAAAAACCTGTTAACCTGGTAATTTCAGAGGGAAAGAGGCTTTGGAAACCTAGAAGAAGTCCTCTACTGAAAGATTAAAGGTAAACATGTGGAAAGCAGTTCTCTGCCCAGATGAGACCAGAATCTAACCGTCTGAAGCCTTATATTGGACTTAAGATTTTCGTTCTGTTCAAAGCTGGTGGATCAGATGAGCTGGATGCATATGAATAACATTTTTTATAAAAACTGGAATCTTTTCTTAAGGAGTCTAATTTCCAAAGCACTGGAAACTCAAAGACATGCAGTTTAATAGCAAGTAGCATACCTGTAGTAAATTAAAGTGTGGTCCACTGAGAGGAGAAGAAAAGGCATGACAGTGTAGCCGATGGCCAGCTGGGTCGCTGCCCACGTCACAACGTCGTACCCAAGCTTCAGCGCTCTAGAGCCAGTGAAGTAGTGTCTGATAGACCTCCGGATCTTTTGCAGAGACAGGAAAAAATAACTAGGGGCTCTTAGCTGTTGCTTTTTACTTTCTTCCAAAGTTGCAATTCCACAGGAGGAGGTTTACTCACAGCTCTCGCTGCTATGGTGATAGGGATGGCAGTGATGAAGGTGAAATAGTAGCCTGGATACACGCCATGCCACAGAGCAGACAGCAGGAAGGTCAGCGCCAAACGATGCTTTGGAGCTCGGTCATAACAAACTCTGAGAAAGAGCCAGAACACCAGATACCGTACATTTATTCTAGGCCCTATCTAATAGCTTTATGTCTAAGGGGTCATTGACCTTTGAACTCACGTTTTGAGCCAAATCCCTGTTTGAATGTTCCAGTTGTCGATGAAGGTCTTAAAGCTGGTCGCTGTCTAGAAAAAAAACAAAGAGTCAGCAGTTTATGTTTTTCATCCATATTGAAGATTAATCCATATAAACAGAAATAAATATCAGAAGTTTAGAGTTGGACTTTAATTGATGCATTTAAAGCATGTCTTCATGGATTATATTATATTATTTTCTAAACCTTATACATTATAAAAAAGAACTGCATGAAAAGAAGAAAAAAATACAAATTGAAGCTCAAATACATGAAAACATCCCACTAAGGTTTGGATAAATATCCCTTAATAAACTGCAGAGAAACCCCAATGCTGTTTTATCACAACATTAAAAGTTTAAACAATCTGGGTTTAAGGTGAAGTGGAACATTTTTTAGTCATTAAATCATTTTATTATGGATCAGCCTTGGATGAGTCACAACCTCTTTCCTGTTATCTGAGTGTGACCCTATATGTGAGTGTGAATCATAGATCATTTCTGAGAGAAAAAAGGTCCAGTAAGAATCTACCCAGAAGATACTAGACAACAGCATGCAGAGTAGTAGAACTGAAGCTGAATCTATCTAAATAAAGGAGTTTTAATACATTTTCCCAAAATATCAAACTTCCGCAGCCAATTTTTGTATTCTGAAAATCATTAAGATTGCACGTTGTATCATCATGACACAATATGGAAATGAAAGGTTTCCTTGTTTTATTAAAACACCTGATGTATTTACCTCAATCCCTATAATGTTGAGGTTGGAAATGAGGTCCCAGGAGGGTCTTCCACTCTCATCTATCCCCAGAAAACCATAACCTGCTGCATTATTTACAGCATCAGCTGAAAAACAACAAAAAACAGTTACACAACCATTAAAAATTCTAAACAAATATCTCTTAACTTCTCTCAAACTTGAACCAACAACAAGGTTCTCAAACAATGAAATGAGAAGCTTTCATAATCCAACATGTCTGTGTTTTAGCTTTAATTCCCGATTTTTACCAAGCGTCCAGGCGAAGTAGAACTTGGGTCTTGCAGCTTGTATGGAGAAGAAAGCATATGTGAGCCGGGTGAGGAAGGAGGCATGGCTGACAAAGTGGTCATCTATGTTATAATTAATGGGCAACGAGCGGGTGATAAAAAGGAAGCAGGACATGCAGGCGGAGCAAACCAGCAGCTTTTTACACACTGCGCCCTGAAAAAAACATCATATAGGCAGAACAATTATAGATAAACCGATGAAGTACCCTAAACAAGACAAAACATGAAGGAATAATTAAATTCATGCAGATCAATGTTAATTATTTAACTTTAACAATTAAGGTCTATGATTTAACCTTCAATAGAAGAGAAACTTTTTTGTTTTTTTGATTTATTTATTATGCTCTAATGGGGGTTGATGAACTAACCAGAGGGGACAGGTCCGGTGTCTTGTCATGGCCGTTCTGCCCATTACACGCTCCAGGGTGCTGCTTTAACCTGCAGCTGATGTGTTTGCCCTCTATGAAGTCGATGTATTCCTTATAGTTGCTGCAAGGCCCGACCAAGACGCTCAGGAAGTTCAGGTTATAACTCAGATACTCCATGAGAGACGGCCTCACTCTGCAGGAAAATTCAAAGCAGATTCAATAAAACTGTACCCAATTAGAATAAAAAAAGGATGTTACATTATACAGTAATACATTATAGAAAAGTCTAGAATTAAAAAGTGCAAGATACATAATGTAGGATTTTTGTGTTTTTATATTCAGATCTAACATGCATTAATTATTCAGCCCCCTTTTCTCTGATACCAGTTACTAAAATCCAAAGCAACCAACTATAATCAGGAAATGGAGCAGAAAAGCTGCAAAGACCAGACCGTCTACCTGTCCTGGACTGGCTGGTCGAGTAGAGCATTAATTAAAGCGTAGTAACAGGGAAGCTATGAGTCATGCACTGTAAATATATGACTGTAATCTAAGAACGGCAAGAAGGAAGGAACAATAATGCAGTTCACTAAAAGCCATTAAGGGCCCAAAGCAAATATTTTCTTTCTTTTTTTTTTAACAGTGTCCTGTCTGGCAATGTGGCAATAAGAATAATTGTCTTGATGCCAAAAAAAGCCCAACAGATTTTACTTTCACAAGTGAAGCAGTAGAGCTACTGCCATATTGTTCCACTTGTTTCATGCATATAAGTTGCGTTATTATAATTATGCAGGGAGTTTTACAGATTAAATGGACACTGCAATGTAAAAAGAATACAAAAGGAAAAACAAGAAGAAGAAAAAAGAGAAAAGATGAAAGAAAGAGGAGATAGAAAGGAGATAATGATAAAACATTTTCAGCAAATATTTTCTTTGAATAAGCTGTGATTGGATGAGTCTGAAATTGTTTTTTTTGCTTTAGCCTGCATGCATGCATCCCTGAATGGAAACATGGTGGTAGCAGCATCATGCTGTGGGGATAGATTTGATCTGCAGAACAGGTCAGAGAGATGGTTTACAATTGATGGGAAGATGGATCTAAAAAAAAAAAAAAAAAAAGAGAGCAATCCTGGAAGAAAAGACGCGATAATGTTACAAGCTGCTGTGGGAGTGTTTGGAATAAAGCATATGCATGTAACTGATAGCCTCAGTTTAATAGATTTGAAAATTGTTCCAATAGGACTGAGCTTCACCTATTTTGGAAAGAAAAAGCAACAATTTCATCTTTAGATTAATGAAGCTGGTAGAGAAAACCTTCCAGCTGTAACTGCAGTAAAATGGATTTCTAGCTCTGACAGCTGAATATAAAATGCACACAGTCTGCAGAACCTGATGGGAATAAAAATTGCTTCCACCTGTCAGTTATGTGGCACTTTATGTTGGTCTATCATCACATTAGAATACAATAATTATTTACCTCAGCTGGTGGATTATATTGGTGGAACGGCTGATACTTGGTTTTAAAGTTAATATCCGATATCAATAGAATGCCGATAACATCCTGCATCCCTATACCACAGGAAATCAGCTCTTCATTTCAAGTCGTCTGACCTTCAGGTCACATTCAAAGACAACTAAGGTCAGATGGAGAACTGCAACTGTTTCACTTTGTCTTGATTTGCTAAGTTATTTCATATTTAATAAGCATGCAGCGTTGATGACGGTGATTCTATCAGTTTTCATGCAGAAAAAGGCTGGATGTTTCATGCAAAATGATGCCTCTCTTAAAAACAAGCTATTCACCATTATTTCCCCACCTTGTCATTGTCCTTTGTTGCTAAAGGAAAAGAAAAGGTTATTTAATCTTTAAGCATGGTGTTAGTTTAGGTACAAAACTCCCTTTTAAATAGCAGACCTCCCGTTTTTAAAAATCATGCTTGTCATAAAAATAATTATGGAAACCCGTCTTTTAGGGAAAACCTACCGTATAGCCAAGTGGTTCTGTTCCACTGTCAGCTGTTCACTTTTCTTACACATGCCTGAAACAAAAAAGATATTAAAAATCTAAATTCATGCTCCTTAAATTTCAGGAGGAATCACATTATAATAGAATCATAGTTAATATCAACTTCTCCTGTTTTCACATATTTACTTTACCAAATTTAAAACTGTCCCTGGCATTTCTTTTCCTTTTTTGTATTTCTGTGGATAAATTCTGGTGTCTCACCGTCATGCAGCTGGAAGGCCAGCATTGTTATCTTCTGGGTTACAATCATCAGGGGCCTGTGCAGAAAACGAATCAGTTTATTGATCATTTAGACTTTAAAGAGTCATAACTGTCATTTTTATAGCTTTGAAATATAAATTTAAAAAGCACAAAAAGCCATTAAAGGAACTTAAACCATGCAAATGATAAACAGGGCTTTACACAGTGGTAAAAGTTAGGCATTTCACAGGAAATTACTGAGCTGGGGTGGACGTATATATATCAAGGATCGAGGACATATCTTTATTCTTTTTTTTTTATGTCAGAGTTTCTAAAGACCTTTATAACTTATACCTCTGTGTGTCCTTGAGGTATACCTACGACCTGACACATAGACCAATTCTGGACATGCCACCCCAATGGAGCTAGCAAGCAGATGGTAATGGAAGTCAAAAATCAACAGAGTTCACTCTTAGATAACTGTCATAAAAAGTGCATCTGGACACCAAATCTCAAGACAACATCAGACAGCATCTATAAGCCGGATAACTTTTTATTAACAGACTGTAAAACACGCTCAATTATAAACACTGAAAAAAGTGTCAGAAGGATCATCTGCATGAATTAAAACTCTAGAGAAGTTGGAATACAATAATATATACCTTATGTATACAGAGGGATATTAAAGCTACAGTGTGTAATTTTCAGCGACATCTAACGTCCAGACTGCAGACTGCAGCAACATGAACATCTCCCCCCCACCGCTTCTCCCCCCAACAGTACGGCGAGCGTTACGGGACAAAATGTCAGACAGAGTCCAAGTCTTGTTTGTGGCACGGGGGTTAAAAGGCGAGGGCCGGGGTGGGCGTGCAGCCAGGGCCAGGCGAGGGAGAGGTGCCAGCGGGGTGACTAGAGCAGAGGAGGAAAGGCTTGAAGATCTCCAAAGGAGCCGGAGAGAAGTAACCGAGGTATATATCCAGAAAATTATTTTACAGAAAATTACTGAATCATTACCTGTGAAACGTCAGGGACGTTGCTGAATAAGTATACTGGAGAGTAACAGCATCATCACGCAGCATGTTATTGTAAGGGGCGATCTCGCAATCGCTAGTTTGTTGGCTCTGCGCTGCCGTAGCGCAAAGATGTCTGCCTCCATGGCTGCGACACCCGCTCCTATGTAATTATAAATAACGAATTCTAAGGCAACGCAAATATTAAGGTTAAGAGGCTGAGCTCCTAGATGATGATAAATAACATAGTTATGTATAATATATTACATTTCTGACTGTATATTCCTGTAATTATTACACACTGTAGCTTTAAAGAGCTGCACCAACAGGAAGTGCTGCTACCCTCTCTAGTTCATTTTTCTCCATTTTATGCTAATTTTTGCAAGTCCAGCCTCTTTATATAAGCAGTCAATCACAGTTAAAGGCTAACAGGTGAGATCACATTAATATCAAAAAGATAAAGATGGAAAAACCACCAGTGTGGTGTGAAATATTACAGTACAGAATCAGAAACAATGATGAACGTTCATCTTCATGACACGCATCTTAATCCAGTCTAGTTTCTACAATCAGCTTATTTGTCTCCACTGAGAGAAATGTGTTGTTTCTTTTTTAGTTAGAAGCTCTCTAAGAAGACTAAGACTTTGAATACATGCTGTGAAACTTTCTGTTAGATATCAGGGATGTAAATCCCCAGCTTTATCATAATCCATTCATCCATTTTCTGTCACGTTTTATCCCTGCAGGGGTTGCTGGTGCCTATCTTCAGCTGTCAATGGGCGACAGTCCATCGCAGGGCAACACAGAGACAAACGGGACAACCAACCATTCTCAGACTGAGATTTTATTTTGCCATTTTGTACTAACAATTGTAAAAAAAAAGAAAGTTTGTTAAGTACAGCTGCTCTCTAGACTTTCATTTTTAAAGTGCAGCCTTGATAAAGGCAAGCAGCAGCGATAAAAACATTGTCATGAAGAAAAAAAAAGTCATGTAAATATATGACTGTATAGTTACAGTTCCAGGTTGTTGTTTTTTTTAGAAACCATTTTACATAACATTCAGCAGTCTAATAGCAGTGGGGAAGAAACTGTTCTGGAATCTGCTGGACCTGCATTGAATGCTGCAAAGCTTCTTCTGAGAGGGCAGCAGGGAGAACAGTCCATGGTGGGGGGTGTGAGCGGTCATTTATGATGTTACGGGCTCAGGACACGCAGTGCTGGGATGAAATGCCTTTAATGGAGGGAAGAGGAGCCCCGATGATCTTCTCTGCGGTTCTCACCACTCTCCTCACTTCCTTCCAGTCTAAGGCGCTGCAGCCTCCACACCACACAGTGAGACAGCGTTTTAAACGCATATTTGAAATTGTCTAGAGCTGTTCTTTGCTGCTGCCTTGGAGCGCCGCCATGGTGACCCACTCACTGATTACCCATGGTAATTCACACACACACACACCTAAGGACAATTTAGAGAAACAATCTAACCTAACAGTCATGTTTCTGGACTGTGGGAGGAAGCTGGAGTACCCGGAGAGAACTAACATATGCACAGGGAGAACACGCAAACTCCATGCAGAAAGACCACGGGCCGGGAATCGAATCTCAAACCGTGCTGCAAGGCAGCAGTGCTACCCACTGCCCCACTGAGCAGCCCAGCTTTACCATAATATCATACCTTTTTAATTTGTTAGGTTGACAATAAGATGTTCACCAATAAAAAGTTGAGGATCATCTATCAGAGATGCAGTTTTTAAACTAAATAACTCAATATGCTGTTAGGAACCATCTCTAAACAGTCCTCCTTTATTAGCATCAGGATCTTTGTTTTCTGACATAGGTTTGCTGCTGGAGGCTTAAAAAGCCATTTAAGAGGCTACTTCATCTGATGAATTCATACTCTGTTCTGATACAGGCAAATGGGGTTATTTATTAATCTAGCGCTATAAATTCTAATCCTCAAATTGGCTGAATCATCTTCTCTGTTTTAATAGATTTTTCCTCAAATATTGGCCTCTATAGCAATAAACATTTCATAAAAAGAGCCTGATAGAAGCAATGCAACATACAGAGTCCAGCACTTTATTTCTGCACTTTTCTCACATTCAGATTTCTCTGTCACAGGAATTCTAAGAACTAAGCACCACATCTCTCCACCTGACACAAACACTCCCTTATTAACACCCTCAGTTCTCTTTTTAAATGGGCTCCATTGTATGCATAGAAAGCCTTGAAAGAAAAGGGGCGGGACATATGGCTGGCAGTGTCTGCTCATCAGCAGTTGGCAGGAAGGGTAGGAGTAAAAAAAACATCGTCAGGGTACCACCCAGCATGCTCACAGCTTCGATTTCACAGACTCGATTTCACATGTGGTCTATACAATCATTAGCTAATGGTAAATTCTGGGAGCAAAATACCGTCCAGACAAACCTTAGAGGGAAACTAAACTCCTCTCTGGAGAAAACAAAACTAGAAAATCATTTGGAGAGTGTGAACCGCAAAGAAGCTAATTTCCCCCACGAAATATTGTGACTTCCACCTTAAAGTAACGTCTGTATTCACAGGATCATTCAACTAATCTCTGGATCTAAATGGTGATTCAGATCATCATCAAAATGTAATAATTTGTTGCCCACCACAATACACACCTTCTTTGAAAACTTCAGCAAAGTCTGTGTAGAGCTTTTTTTCTTATTTTGAAAACAGACAGACAAACATAACCTCCTTGGGTGAAGCTAAATTAGTCCTACCAGCGGGCCAAGTGTTGTCCGGGGAGATCAGAGCGAAAAGCTGGAGCCTCTGAGGAGTTTGGAGAAATCATGAAACAAGACTATCAATCGGCCTCAAACTAAGTATGCTAAAGGTCTACCAGAGAGCTTGTTAGTGGGAGCTGCTGACCTTGACTGAAGACATTGAGGATCTCCTCAATCTGCCTGACACATCTTCTCTGGAAGAAACTGGTTGCTTGGAGCAGGACTTTATCACCGAGGCTGAGGTCACCACGGTGGTCAAAAATGTTGACAGTGGCAAGTCTTTAGGGGTGAATGTGGTCTGCCCTGACTTTGCTGTCATCGCTGGCACATATCTACAGCATTGTGTGGCGGTCGGGGACAGTTCTCTTGGACTGGCAAACTGGTATGATGATTCCCTTCAATAAGAAGAGGGACCACACATTTCTTAAGCCTGGTTTATGGTCAGAAACCAGGTCATCTGTGTGTGTTTCGCAGTTAACGCAGATATGACCCCCCTTCCGCAGGCACACTGGTGCACCTCTCCAAAATTGTAGGTGACCGCAGACAGTACCGCAGATAGCGTCGCGGGAGATAAAGAAGGCCTCTGATTGGTCAGTTCTACAACCGCTCTACACTATGCGTAATTCCTGTGTGGTACCCAGTGGCAGAAACTCTGGCTGTAGTGCCATCTACAATGCCTGGCACATCTCAGACACTATCCCAGACATCGTGCAGGATGCTAGTTTGTAGCTCTGTGCGACAGTCTGTTGATTTGCACCCGAAGCAAAAACACGCCGCACCACGGCCAGTCTTTCGTGTACATTCACGGGTGAACTGTGTGTCGTCCGGCGTGGGTTGAGGGGTTGTAGACGGCGAACAAACTCATCAAACCGACACATGGACACCCACAATCCTAGCTAGTTTGTGATTGTCCCTCTTGAGTTGTGGCATGGAATAACATAGTGCAGACCACGCTTCAAGATTGGGCATAAATCAAAAATATGTCATCATAATTGCGACAAGCTAACTGCGACACACTGCTGAGGTAGCATAACCAGCCCTTTAGCCTACCTGGGAAAGCTAATGACAGAGAGCTAGAGAGAACCATTATGCTGATTGTTGAACCTCAACTTTAGGACGTACAGTGTTGACCTTCATCCTGACTTAGAAACACTGGACCAAATGCGTTTTTTGGACTGGTAGGAGCCATCCAAAAGTCTGATATGACTGGTAGATTTTTTTCACTGCTCTTTTGTGTTATGCTCGTTCCCTTTCTGACAGACCCACAGCGTGCGCTGGGGCAGTTCACAGCCAAGTGTTAAGCAGCCCGGATGAACAACAGCTCCTCCAAATTTGACTCCATGGTGCTTTCTTGGAAAAAGGCAGCTTGTCCTGTTGAGGTTGGAAACGTGATGCCCTAAGTGGAGGAATTAAAGTCCCATTAATTCCTGTTCACAAGTGAGGGGAGAATGGAGCTGGAAATCGATGGATCATTGTCCTGCCATTATAATGTGCTCTTGATTTACCGGTTGGTTTACGTTCCTACCATCACCTTGGATCATGAAATGTGGATCCTGACTGAAAAAAGGGATCCTGGATACAAGCGGCTGAAAAGAGCAGGATGGCTAGACACCATCTTAGAGACAGGGCAGTGAGCTTGGTCATGCAGGAGAGGCTCTAAATAGAACCACTTCACCTTCACATCGAGTGAAGTTAGCTGAGGTAGCTAGGAAAGCTGTTTTGGTTGCTTGAAGGAAACTTCCCACAGGAGGTGTTCCAGATGCGTTCCATTGGAAAGAAGCCCAGGGAATGGCCCAGTACAGGATGGAGAGACTGTCTCTCTCTGCTGGTCCTGTAATGCATCAGGCTTCCCCAAGAGACACTGGAGGAGGTGTCTGGTGAGAGTCTCTGCTGACACCAGATCTAGCCTAAAAACCAATGTCTAAATGACGTCTGGTGTTTGGGGGGCCAGGGTTAACCTGACATTTCTCAATTATGTGTCTTGATAGGTTTGCAGTTGTGCAACATGTTCAGATGCTCAAAGCTTGCTATATTATTACCAAAATCTCCTTTGAACTTCTCCACAACTTTCTTCCTGACCTCTCCCCTTTGGTCATCAAAAGGCTGTTTGTCCACTAATGAGCTCTAAATAACTTCTGAGGACTTCATAGAACTGCTGGGTTTTTCCTTAAATGAAATTACTCACAAGTTGACCCATTTAACTGATTCACTGATGTCTGACAGCAATAAGTTCCACTAGAATCTACTTCTAGGTATTAAACTAAATATGACTACATATAAATGCATGCCATATTATTCAAATTCTTGCTTGCAAAACTGATATAAAACCATGTTTTCTTTCTATTCTAAAATGATGCACCATTTTCCATTGGCATGACAGTTAAAGTTGTCATGAAATTGACTCAAGTTTGTGGTTATAGACTGCAAGAAAAGGATGGATGTAAAAGGATGGGTTTAAAAAGTAAGATGGGTATAAAAACTATTTGGAAAACAAAAAAAATCCATGGGCTAAAGGGGATTTATCTTTGTTTTTCTGGACGGCAGACTGCATGTAGCTTCTGAGATTCCCAACCCTAAATATTTAGTGTCTGGAACAGGAGAAAAAAAGAAAAAAAAAAGCCTGACACAGATTTGGGTTCCTAATTTAATATACGACAGTGGGACGGGTTGCCTCACTGGCCAGGCTGGTAGAGCAGTCACATGGAGGATGAGTTTGGCTGCCAACTAGTTTATCCTCAGTGGAACTAAGCAAAAAGACAGAGGAACAATGTTAACTGGTCCCTTTAGAAACATCACATTTTACCCAGATTTACTGTTTGAGTGTTATAATTTAGTAGCAACAATATATAATCTACTCATATCTCCTTCACATTCAATAAGTTTGTGTATCTAGGTAGGGATATCTTTCAAAAACTCATTTAAAGCAGTCATTCCTAAAGCAAAGGCATGACTTATTCTCAGGGAACAAAAAGAAAGAAAAAAGCCTTTCCTTCCTTCTATGGAAGGTAATCAGATCCAACCTTCCTCTTTAAATTCCTTCCTTTCTTCAGACATGATTAAAACCTCATCAACTGTACCAGGGTGGACACTGTCACCTGCTGCTTTCAAATCAGTAGTGTCGTATTTACACAAGGCTGTGGTGAGGCGGGAAGCCCGCTGTTTGGAAATGTCAACCGACAACAAAGGACCCGCTCTACCACCAAACTGGCTGTCATCAAGTGGGAGTGGCCGGAATAACAAGTGAGGCAACAAAATGATTCAGCTCGTTCTTACCCGGAGAAGTCCGTGGAAAGAATGCCGTAGTTAAAGATGAAGACTCGGCTCACGTGGCAAACTGTCAGATAGCCCATTGCTGTCACCATGGAGTACCTGTGTGTGAGGGAGTAAACATAAGCTCTGCAGACAAAAGGCCATTCACATATTCTTTGGGAAAGATTGCAGGAATTACAGGAGCATTTTCCCACCTCTTGGCGAATCATTATGGTGACTCACAATATCTCAATGACTGAGTATATCCTCAAACATCTTAGAGGAGCTTTGTTTTTCTTTTGTTTTTTTTGTTTTTTGTCTTACAGTTTTTAAGAAATGTTGGGAAATTTCTAGAAAAACTTCCAAGGAAAGATGTTTGCCACATCTGTGGGCATGTACTTTGGATTATTACTATTGTTATCTTGCGTTTTTCTGTGAACTATAGAAATAATTTTCAATCCAAAGCATCTACGTGACCTTGAAAAAGTTTTAACACCCCCTAGACTTTTCCACACATTATTGCAATACATACAGATACATTATTTTAATGGATTCTATTCGTATTTTTTGTTATAGACCACCACAAAATAGACAAAATGGTCAGTGAAGGTCAAGAAAGAGTTTGTTTTCTTTTTTTCCAAAATGTCATACAAATAAAACCTGGTGTGATCTCTAAACCTCTTAATAAAAACACACCAATGGAAACACTGGAAAGGTTTCTGAAGAACCCAAACTCAGGTGAGAGAATCTGCCCCAAGAACAAGAGTCAGATAAAAAAACAAAAAGTTAGGGTTACTTTCTGGTTACTTTCTAACCTTCATGAAAAGCATATGGCTAGTTATGGGACAAAAGAAATGTAAAACATAACAGCTAAGTTTTTCCATGTTAAATTATGCGTTGTGATGTAGTTTTTTTTTTTTAAAGACATGAATCTATTACTCAAAATTTGAACGGTTTGCTTTAAAAAATAAGCTTTTTTTTAAGAGTCTAATGAAGGCAATCTCTAAAAACCACAGCTGTGGTTTTATCCACTTCTCTTTAACAATCAAACGGACTGAACCAAAGTCACAGAGTAAACTTTCACAACTTGTATCTGTAAGCTTGCATCACTACTATGGGAGTAAGAATGAGTAACACCCAACAGAAGAGCAAATATATACACACAGTAATAAAAACAAATTTTTTTATCAGAACTGCGTCGATGAAGGATCATAGAAGGTTTAAGGCCAGCCTTTATAAAACAACTTAGGTGAGACTAATTTGGGTTTCAAAAGCTTTTGTTTACAGTCAGCACTGCAATGCTGATCTTTATCTTGTTCAGCTGGCCGGAAATCCACGTGAATAAAACAGGAATTTTTCGACAACAGATATCGTTAAGGTAAATGTCTAATCTTAGCCCACCCATAGTTATTCACAGTTTCTGGGAGTGACTCAGATAATCTGACAAGATCAACCAGAAATCAAGTGAAACTGAAGGCAGCAACAATAACTCTGGAAACGGAGTTCCAAGAAGCTGTTCTGTCGTTCTGTGTTGAAATCACAAGACAGACATGTTCATCGGGTCTAGAAACAAGGTTTTCCTTGTGGAAAACCACAAGACAGGCAAGTCCTGCCAAATTTCCTTAAAGGTATGAAGAAAAACACCTGCCTGTGTACGTTGTTGATGTCACCTTTCAAGATGAGTAAATAGTTTACAGCCACCACAGCCAGGATATGACCTGAATACCTGCAGGAACGAACACACACAATCAACAAACAATTAGTCTATATAGAAAAACAACTCTAACGCATCAAAAATACGTCATGTGTAAAAAGATTGTGTCCTTTTTACCAACTCGGCTCATTTACTGACTTGGATTAGACTGGATTGGATTACAGATATATACACTCTGTCCTATCAACATAGCTAGATCGACTAATTGTAGATGAAAGGAAATAAATGGAGCACTGTGTGTCCATTATTACAGTACCATCCAAAGCAGAAGAGGAGAAAGGTGATTCCAAAGAGTGTGGCAACCATATGTCGGACCGCGGGGCTTGCATGGTTAGGACTGAGGCAGAGACGAAACCAGAAGGCAGCAACGAGGGCAAACAGCTGGCAGGCCAGGAAGTTCACCTGAAGGGATCACAGAGGGGAAAGGTTTAGAGTAAAACAGCTCAAAATGCTCCATAGTGGCTTTAAGAGATGCTTTACCATGGCCACTCCGAAATAAAGCTCAACAATGTATTAAATCCTAATAATTGTTACTGTATTAATCAGAGCAGTATCACAGTGACAAAGCTGATCTGTGCATCAAAAGTCTAATTTGAAATAATACTGCTGGTCACTGGGGTGTACAGTCATTTCACAGTGAGGGGTTCATGGTGTTTTTACTATTAGAGACGATGAACATGGCAGCTTTATGAATGGGAAAAGGATTGACAAGGCTTGTGGAGAACCACTACCATTTTCTACCAATCTTAGATCAATTCCATTCCTTGTTCTAAAGCCTTAAATTAAAAAAAATAAAATAAACTAGATTGCTGAACCCAACAATAAATGTATGTAGTAAATAAACTTGAAAAGAGTGTTGTTGTCATTTTTATCTATGGTCAATTAAATTGTGTAGCTCTGGAAAAAAGTAATTCCCTATAAGGAGAAAAAAGAAGACTGTCAGGTTTGTAAAGGTTACACCCCCCTAATCTAGAAAGTATTTGATATACAGAGTTAGTCTGGATTAGGATTAGGGGTCCAGATCATAAAGTTTACAGACATCTACTTAAATAAAGATAAAGACACGTTTAATGAATTATTTACTGATGTATTTCCTCGATCAAATGTTGTATTAGATTGTAGTTTTAGACTGAAGAGAGCCTAATAATACACAACAACAAACAAATAATTATATTTTATTTTTTTATAATCAGACATACTGAACTGAGCACCCAAACTTGGTAATGGAGGATTACCTGTAAAGTTAGACATGCTCATTTAATCAGCTGACTGTTTTGATTTTTGGATGTAGATTAATCTACAATCTCTGACGTCACACAAAATCGGGCTTAAATGTATGCCTCTCCTCGCGAGGTTTTATTGGATTAGCTCAAACTTTAAACATAACAACAGAAACATTAGAAAACTAGCGAGGATGTTTCCCTTAAAAACTTCTTGTCCAGTCTGTCCTACCTGGTCCAGAGACAAACCCACTGTAGCGCTGACAGGCAGCAGCCACCTGGAGCCGGTGGTTTTAAACATCGCGTCCTCCCGTCCGCCCATATGTATGGATTTTCAGTCCCAAAGCTGCGCTTTTTTAGGCTGCTACCTTTTTTAAACTCCGTGATATTGTCAGTCTGTGAAATGCATGCTCTGCCTCAGAGGGTGTGTGACAAGCCAAACCAGTCCTGTCCTCCGGACTCTCCTCCTTCTCCCTAATGTCCTCAGCATCAAACGCGCTCTAATTAGAAGATACCCAATTTCCGGTTAGTCCTTAAAAAATAAAAGCCGGGGCGAAGTTTTATTTCCCCACATTTAGCGTGGTGGATACCAGCAAAGCTGTTTTAAAAATGCATGCTGCATGGTAAGTTATTTCTTTCTCCTTTCGTTCAACGCTTTTATTAATTTTAATTAATAAAGTAGTAACTATTTCACATCACTTCCGGTGATTTTCACATTAAAGCAATATTTTGTACAACAATTGATTAAGATACTGTTTTGTGTGCTTGGGAATCCCATGTAAAATATGTAAATATAACAAAATCTATAGAAAAAGTTTATTTAAACAAACAAACAAACAAAAAAACACAATCCCCCCTTTCATTTGAAACTACAGTATGTTTTAAGTGACGCAGTGACTTCAAAATAATGGTATTGTATACTTAATAAATGTTTATGATAATTTTTGAATATATATACGTAAAAAAAAGTTTTTTTATTATTAAGATTTGTTTTAGATCAAAATTAGCTCCTTAAACTTTTGCTCACTTACTAGCATGCCTAGGTATTCCTGGTTTTAATCATTGGTAGTTCTTGACCAAATTTACTAAGGGACCCAGGCAAGGGCCATTATTTTTTTTTCTTTTTATCATGACAAAAAAAGAAAAAAAAATAGGGCAATAGCTCATCTCATAAATAAGAAACAAAGCAAATGTTGCAGATCCCTGATCTAACATAGGAACACTGTGATGCTATCTAAACATTGCTGAAGCTTGAAGTGATATTAATAATAACAACCTAATTACTGCATTACTGTAAAAGCAGACTGAAATATATATATTTTAAAAAGGTCCAAGAAGCCATTCAGTTAGTCTCTTTTGTTAAGTATATCATCATCAGAAATTGATTTAGTATTATGTTTTGAGTACAGGGGCCACAAAAGGGACCACAACCTGCTCTACAGGGGCACTGCCCCATGTTGGCCCCTCTGTAGAACCGCCCATCAATTGAACTAACTGACTTGCTCTTTCAGTGGCTGATCAAATAGCCTGTTATAGTTGGAATAACTTCTAATTTGGTAAAACTACAACTATTGATTTTTATTTAAATTTTTTCAGCAGCATCTGAGTTTTTTTGTGAAATATTTATATAGGACTCAGAACTGTTAATAAATGTTTTCATGTGTTGTTAATATATATATATTTTTTTTTTGAAGTCTAAGTTAATGTTGTGTGTCAACAATATTCCAGGCTGAGGAAATATTCAAAAACATTAATTTAACTAAACATTTAACTGCTGTTTTACTCCTGATTCTCTTACAAACTATATGTTCTCTGTTTTATCCTCTGACATTAGAACTGGCTTAAAGCTAATCTGCTTGGCTTTGTGTTTCCTGGACGGGGCCGCCTGTGGTGCTGGTTTACAGTTGCCTTTTGTATCTCTGCTTCTTTCTTTATGCTTGCTTCCACACACACTGAGTCTGGTTCTGCTGGAGGTTTATTCCTGTTAAATGGGAGTTTTTCCTCTCCACTGTCACTACATGCATGCTTGGTGTGAGGGATTGCCTTCAAGTCAATGAGCCGATGCAATCAGCTGGTTTTCTTTAGATAGAAAAATTTGAACCAATCTGACTGTATGATCTGGTTGAATTGTCTCTGTAAACTGCCTTGAGATGCATGTTGTTAATTGGCTATATAATTAAACTGAATTTAATTTAGTTTAAAGTAGGCTAAAGAGTTCATGTGAATAAACCTAAAACAAATGTTAAATAAAATATAGGTAAGATCTTACATATGTGCAAATCTTCAACTAAACACTGGAAATGATCAAATGCCTTCAAAAACAGTTCAAGAGATTTTTTTTATATTGCAAGATAGCAGCTGATCTTCTATGACAGCCTATGAGCCTATCTCAACAAATGCATTGAGGACGTCAGCATCACAAAGAACATCACCACCCGGGCCAACCAACCACCCTGGATGAATGGAAAGGTTCGGAAATCACTAAAAGCACGGAACTCAGCTTTCAAGTCTGGTGACAGAGAGGCTATGAGGAACCATGCTATCAGATCAGTGAAGCAGAACCACAGCCAGAAGATCCGGGATCTTTTCCACAATGCCAGCAACACCAGGAGGATGTGGAAAGGCATTCGGAAGATCACGGACTACAACACACACCCCCTGCACACCACAGCATCTGATGGGAAAACTGAAACAGCTGGGATTCAATACACCCCTCAGCAATTGGCAGCTAGACTTCCTCGCCAATAGACCTCAGTCAGTCCGGCTTGGACCAAACTCCTCTAATGACCCCCTAAGCACAGGCTCCCATCATGGCTGCGTCCTAAGCCCACTGATGTTCACTCTGATGACACATGACTGCGTCGCCAGGTTCACCACCAATCAAATCGTGAAGTTTGCAGACAACACTGCAGTGGTGGGCCTCATTAGAGACGACAACGACCTGGACTACAGAGAGGAGGTGGAGCAGCTGGTGGCTGGTGCAAAGATAACAGCCTGATCTGAACATGGAGAAGACGAATGAGATGATCTTGGACTTCAGGAAGAAGCGGCCTAACCAAAGTCCACTGATCATCAATAGCTCAGCTGTAGAGGTGGTCAGCAGCACCAAATTCCTGGGGGTGCACATCACAGACACCCTCACCTGGAATGTAAATGCCACCTCACTGTTTAAAAGGGCACAGAAGCGCTTGCCCTTCCTGCAGAGTATGAGGAGAGCCCACCTGCCTCCACCCATCCTCACCACCTTCTACAGAGGTACCATAGAGAGCTTTCTGACCAGCTGTCTCACTGTGTGGTGTGGAGGCTGCAGCGCCTCAGACTGGAAGGAAGTGAGGAGAGTAATGAGAACAGCAGAGAGGATCAGCTGGGCTCCTCTTCCTTCCATTAAAGACATTTCATCCCAGCGCTGCGTGTCCCGTAACATCATAAATGACCCCTCACACCCCCACCATGGACTGTTCTCCCTGCTTTGCAGCATTCAATGCAGATCCAGCAGATTCCAGAACAGCTTCTTTCCCACCGCCATCAGACAGCTGAATGTTGAGAAACTCTAAATCATGTCACAGACGCTGCATCAAACTGCACCTTGTTTTTGTCTTCTCCCACAATGTTTACATTTGATCACTGCTGCTGCTGGAATGGAAATGTCATGACAGCTGTACAAAACGAAATTGCATTTTGCATACACTCTGTGTATACCAAATGACAATAAAAGTTGTCTAAGTCTCTGAGTTTGTTTAACCTTTTCCTTATAATTTACTGCTGATTGAAAGAGTATGAGGATAACACTGACCCAATACTCATGTGGTTTTACTGTAGTACTAGTTTCCATTATGAACTGGTTTCCTATATGTAATACTACCACTAAAATAATTTACTTTCTCATATGGTTTCATTAGATTATTATTATCAATTATATTTTTCACTGTAAATTAGTTTTCTGATCAAATGTAATTTTATCCAGTGTTATAGGGGTCAAAGGTCTATGGCATTCACACTGAAAATAAGTGCAGCTAAATGAAGTTTTTTAGCAACTCTTCAAAGGCCATGAAATATTTCATTATTTTGAACTTGCTTCCCCATTTTTTAAACATTCTTGGCAACTTATTTTTCAGGTTATCTGATCTACAAGTTCTATTTGAAAATAGAGTTAAAATAGAAAAAAGAGAAACAAGAGTTAAAACTTGTATATATTTTTAATTTTGTTTTGGTTTTGTTTATAAAGACTGCTATAGTTACTGATGTCTTCCTCTTTTCACCACAGTAGGTCATTTGCGCCACCTAGCGTCCATCCTTAAAACATGCAGTGCGTGGCCGGTGACGTCCCCTGTTTACAACTGCCAATTAGCACGTGGCGGACACAAAGCAGATCCCCCATTGGTCAAAATGGGCGGAAGCTCAAAAGCGAAGAACCAATAGCGTTTGTCATGCAAATTCCGTTTGAAAATTTGCCGGGAAATCCGAGTTTCGCGGGAGGGCTCTTGAGCGCGCAAACCGTATCCCTTCATTCATCAGGCCGTTTCCTGAAGCCATTTCTAGACGGGAGGAACGAGAGTTGCGCTACTTTTAAATCCGTCGCATCTGCCTAAATGCACGTTCTCCAGGAAAAATCATTTTTAAAAATCGATCCTTCAGACATTCACCTTCACTTCGGTGTGATTATTTTTGTCTCTCTCGCGACTGATTAGCAGCCTTACGGGCTTTAAAGTTAAGAGACAAGAAAAGGGGTTACCCCGAATACGCAAGATGAGAAGAGGGATCTCCTCGGCTCCGGACAAAGTGATTTTAACAGGGGTTGGGGGCTCCTCTCTGGACAATAATCTCATTTTAACCGCTCTCTCGGACCGTTTAAACCCCGGTCAATCTAATACCACGTATATCCAAATAATAACCACCCCACCGCCTTGTAATGTTACACAGACATCCAATGTGTGTTTATCCGAGCCTCAGGTTAACAGCATTTATACGACTCCACAACAAGCTGCTGCAAACGGAACCGGACAGCGACCCTCTCTGGGAAGACCACCGGTAATAACCTCCACAGCATTATTTTCACACATTTCTGGAACTACAAGCAGCCTCCGGTGGGATAACCGTTAGCCTGCTAAGCTAGCCGAGCTTGTTGTTCGCGCGGCTAACGTTAGCTGCTTTAGCTTTGGCATCCCCACGACTATGAAGCTAACTAACTAACCTCAAAAAGAGGTAGTTTGGGGAGATTTGTTGACTTTATGAACGCAGAAGGGGAGTTTAGGTTAGTTTAAAGGAATAATACGAATGAAGAGCCGCCGTGTAGCATCGAGCTAGCCAACTTCATGGTGATTTAGGGTCCGCTTCACCTTTGCAGCCAGATGGAAATATCGGTAAGGGATGAGTGGCGTTAGCGTTGGCCTAGTAGCTGCAGTTAATGTCTTTATTTGTCTTTTTTTTTAAAGGGGTTTAAGTGCTTGGGGTTTTTAACGGCTTTATAACCAAGCTTCTTAATGATACAAGAAGCAAAGGTTACATTAAAACACAAAACTTCTACACGAACACAGCTTCGCATCAGTTTTTCTTTAAACTACTCGATAGATTATCGCCTCTGAAGATGCAAGCCAAGTTAAACTGCGTTAGCTTTCAAAGCTAGTAGGATTTATTGATTATTAGACTGGAGTGGGACGTGACTCGTTGTGTTCAATGACCTATATTTATTTTTTAATAAAGTGACATTGGTGAAGCCAAAGTGAAACCCAAGTTTGCTGCTTTTGAATCTCCTTGCTCGTTTCCTGTGTTGAACATCGCAGAAACCACAGTTAATGCAGAGTTCAGGGCGTAGAGCTGTTTGATTGCGATTCATCTTTCATGAAGGAAAGCAGTTAGTGTGTCAGGCTGGAGCCATGACCAGGCTGAGGGGGATCTGCCTGCTTATATAAAATGGCTGACTCTTTAAAACTGTCAGAGGACATATTCCCTCCTCTAGGTGCCAAAAGATTACTTTTATTTTCTTTTAGAAGGTTGAAGATTTCCTGAATATTGTTCTATCCCCCCTGTTTTAATAAGTGTAGTCATGCATTACTGCTTTGAGACTAAAACGAGCTGGGTGCTTTCTAAACACTTTTTTTCTTTACAAAGTGATTTAAATCCAGTGTTTCAGGGTAAATTTAACTTGGATGTTTTTGCAGGGAAGTACTGGAGCCTCTGCAGGATGGCATGCTCCCAGGCCTTTAAATGCTGTGTGGTAATGGACCAAGTTATGGTTGGGGGGGGTGTTGAAGAAGAGGACACATACCATTTCAGAAATTGGTTTATAATCTTGGCATTTGCCTATTTAAAGCCTATTTAACTCATTAAGATGTTTGCGCATAATTTATTAGTAAAAATACAACTGAAAATAAATGGAACTTAATTGAACCTTATCTGATTTTGCTAGGCCTGGTATATATTCTTACCTATATCAGAATGTTTGGTCTATTCCTAACGCTTTTTTTTTTTTTTGTTAGATTAGGGAACATAATCTTAAAGTATATATTGGTAAAAGGGTGTCTTAGGCTACTTTCACACTGCAGGCCTTGATGCTCAATTCAGATTTTTTTTTTGCATTGGCCTTCACATTTCCAAATATATGCGACTAGTATGTGATCTCTCTAAAATGCATTCATACAACTTAAGTGTCCTGCATGCGCAGTAGAGGACGCAATGACATCACAAGCCAGCGTGCTCTGTGTTTATGGAAGTAAACATGGATTTTTTGCTGGAGCTCATCTAGAAATCTTTCCAAACCTTAAAAACCTCAATCTTTTCAAGATGGTTAAAAAAAGTACTGCTCTCCGCATCATCGTCCTCCATCGTGTTTGTTTTTCTGGCCGCTTCTGGGTAGCAAGACCCAGAATAGTGACCTATGTCGGATATTAATGGCGTTCAGGTTGGATGAATGCGACCTGGCTGTTCAGACACAGGTCGTTTTTGAAAAGATCAGATTCGTATCGAATTCAGGACCAATGAGCCAAGCGGCCTGGGTCGCTTTGGAAAAAATTGGATCTGTGTTTTTCACACGGCCATGAAAAGATCAGATCCAGGTCGCATATGGGCCAAAAAATTGCATTTGGGTCACTTCAGGCTGCAGTGTGAACGTAGCCTTGGATGCAAAATTTTTTTTGTACTGTTATGTTTTAGGTGGAGCTCTTAAGGCTAATAGATCACTTCCAAAGATCCTCATGTTTGATATCGGCTTTGATGAACAATATTTTGAGCTAACGGAAGCCCAAGAAAATTAATCTGTAGATTAATTGCAGTCCATATCACTATTACAATATTTAGTTCTAATGCTGCAGGTGTTTTTAATACTGTGCAGCCCTAGGAAGAATTGCATGACGGTGCACATTTCCTTTCCTTTGCTTTACTCTGCAACATGAACACATGTTCACAACATAGGATGTTTCTATCTTTAGGTTTATGTGAGTTTTGTGCATGTGAGGATGCATGCTTCAAACTGGACCCAGAGGCTAGATGATGCAGATACATAGAAATTAGGTCTGTGATCACAGTTTTGGTGTGAGCCTGCATGGAGAAAAAAGGGGTGCTTCAAAACAGTATAACAGGTTTACAAAAGGAGGACCTGCTTTTAGAGCTGTTTAAATGACATTTCAAATTACGACATTTCACTTAAACACTAATATACCTAAGACAATATTTAGAATATACTTTTGTTTAACATTCATTTTCAAGTTTTTGTGCAATCATTAAACATGTATTTATTCCGCTTATTTTAGAGCAAGACCAGCTGACAGGGTTTTAGGCTTCATACTAAAGTAGTCGGGTTGGAGATGCCTTTTAATAGGCATGTGGTTTGCAGCTTCAAACGCCTCATTTTCCTTGGTGCTTAGTGTTTTTTTTTTAAACATCGTTTTTTATGAAGTGTGCAGAAAATGTGTGAAAATGACAATGGTGCAAACTAGAACTGGGCAGTTAGTTGCAATTGCGATATAATACAATTAAACATAATGCAATTTTCAAATCACACATGAACTTTATTTTGGTTGCATTTCACAACAGGACACTACATTTCTTACTCCAGCCCTATATCCGTAGTTAATGCACTTAAAGAGGGGTTGCGGCCATAAAGAATGAAAGAAAAGGCTGCGCCTAGCATGGAGATCAACGCACGCAAGGAGGAGGTTAGCGTAAAGTCCTGCAACTATAGACTCTGGACAATCAAGTTTTCATTGTCCTGAAAAAGCAACTCTTTAAATAAATGAAATATCCTCATGTGGTTAAAGACAAACTGAAATAACATCACACATTTTAATATTGGTTAAAAATAATTGCAATTTTAAAAAATTATATCGTTCAGCCCTACTGCAAACCTAGAACTATGCTGAAAGATTTTACATTTTAACACATGGTCATCCTTTCATACATGCCACTTTTGCTCTCCTACTGCTCTGCTTAAACATGGAAAATGAATACATCAAAGCCAAGTTTATGTTAGGTAGTTGATTACAAAAATATGAAGATTTATTCTGATAATCCATCTTCACTACTATAAATGTGCAAAATGCTGTCGTGCGGTTGTATTTTGTTTTTGCGGCAAGATTATTAAAGTCATTCCCAATTTATTATTTTTCTTATATAAAGATGACCATCAATAGTTTCATAGTTTGATTTAGGGATTGACTTTCAAACATATGTAAAAAAACAAAACAATGCATACCCACCTCCAAACATGGTGTAGGTATAACTTGTAATAAATATCCATATATCTATTATATCTTAAAATGGATATATCTATTTTGAGTTTATGTTTTTTGTCTCTTATATATTGAACAAAAATACGTGTCAGGATTTTCAGGTCTGTTTTGACTAATTTAATCGTTTTGATCGCATACTAGAGTGTTTGTACCCGGCTGTAAATAAGAACCAACTTCAGGCTGCCAGTCGCTCGATTAGTCCCTATACCGAGTCTGAAAGCACAGATACCCCATTTATTACTGGTCTGGTCGTATGAAATTAGAAGCAGGAATCATAGCAAGAACTTGGTAATGAATGCCTGCCCAACTTGATCAGACTTTCTGTTAAAACCTGTTTGTTCCCTTCCAGGCAAAAAGGCGGTTGGCGCTTGACGATTCAGATCACCAGTACCAGTCAGAACCAGCCAAAACACCAAGAGGTAGAGGAGGAGCTGCAGCAGCAAATGGGACACGGCTAAAGACGCCCAGGAGTAAGAAAGCTTTAAGGAAACCTGAACACTTTGTTGTCACAAATGGGTCACAAGTATACAGCAGAGATCCATGATGGGTAGGGGGTGCCATGGAACCTTTGAGTAAAGCCTTTTAATCCTGTTCTAATCGTTACTTATCATTTGTACTCCAGATAATGTAGTCATTAAACTGCGTAATTGTCTGATTTAAGTTCCTTCTGTTGCCTTTTTACCACTATAGGAATATTTGAATGTCTCAGATGAACCAATTGGTTAAAGGCTTGTGTATATTAGTGAAACAAACAGTGAGTGTAAACCCACATCCATGCCAACCGTACCTCACTGAACACATAAGGGCCACGGAGTTTCTGCCAAGCACCCCATTTCGCTGGCAGAGTTTCACAGCGGATAGCTTAAATTATGAATTATTTCATCATCACACAATAGTGGGAAACCTGTTGGCTTAACACTAGAACTCCCAGAATTCTGATCCTACTAGAACCTAACCTGACAACAGCCAGATGCATGTCTCGCTCCGCCCAGCTCCACTCACATACATCTGGGAACCCGCCATAGGAATTGCCTTTACTGAAGGCTGGGCCTTATCAAAACTCCTTGCATATGATTGGATAAGCCACTTGTCTGTCATCTTTATTGACGTGCTATTTCAACCACTCACACCGAAGCTAACCCGTGACGCTGTGAGAGGAGGAGCCATTTGATAGATCAAGCTCTTGCCATATCCGGTCGGGAGAAGGGCGAAAACATCGTTTCCACCAACAAAAGCCTTCAAAGCCGTTCTTTGATGTTCTTTTAATTAAACAATATCAGATAGATTGGACAACACAGAAGAAATAGCAGCATCAATGCTAACGCTTGCTTCCTCAATGCGAGCCGCCATTGTTGTTGGAATCTCACGGTCGCTTCTCCACTCCAGGACACACCCACCCTGCGTCCTGATTGGACAGACCATAAATTCGGTTGGGGAAATCACTTTCAATGAGCGGGTTCCCAGATGTATGTGAGTGGAGCTGGGCGGAGCGAGACATGCATCTGGCTGTTGTCAGGTTAACTAGAACCCCCACTGACTGTCAATGTGACGGCTGACATTTTCCCCAACGGAACGCATGAGTAGTAATGATGTCATCACCTGAGCTGCAGCCATTATGGATATGTAAACCTTATAACAAATCTAATATATATTTTTCAAAGGCTGTATTGTATGCTATTATTTTTGTTCTAAATTTATATCAAAAATAAATCCGTAGAGTAAGACTGTTTTACTACACAGGTTCAAAGTCTGAAATTATAATTTTATTTACAGATATTGAATGATTCCCCCAAACATTTCCCGCAGACCACCTTTTCACATTTATGACAAACCTAATATGAGCATTTATTTGTGCAGCGCTGAAGCACCTGGCGCTGTTTTCTGTGCCTCGCCAAAGCTGCTCTACGGTGAGGTAGGGGCTAGAAACCTGTGGTTTGCTTGCAACTGTTTTATCAGTTCAAGAATAAAATTGCTGCGTAAAAAAGTGACATTCAAACAGCTCCTGTAAAAAAACAAATGTGTTTATATCTGATATTTCCAGGAGATCATAAATTACAGCCACGGGCCAACTTCGCGTCGGAGCTTTTACAGAATCCTTTCTAATCATCTGATCAGACCCATCCACGCCGACCTGTAAGTGGTTATAGTAGACTATGGGCTCTGGTTTGGCTTTTGGGTGGATGTGGACCAGCTGAGGTGTGGGCAGTGCTTGAACAAAAGTTTAATTATTGTCTGATGGGTCACTGATACGTCTGCGTTCTCCCAGGGGTGGGTGATCATCCTCGGACTCACTGTTATAATCTGAGTCGCTGCCTACCCAGTCCTCCTCATCGGTCTCTTCCCCTCCGCCTGAATCGCTATCATCAATATTTTGAAGAATTTCTAAAGCCTGTTTCATGGTTAGATTTCTTTTGAAAGCCATTTTTCCGTGTTAGCCAAAGCGTTCTAGGAAGAATGTTGGTTGCGAGGCAACGTTACCGAATGTCAATCATCCGCGGGAAGAAGCTGCAATGCGACTAATAGAGCCGTCAGAATGACAGCTGTTGGAGATCAGGGTAAATAACCATATTTATTTTTTATGTTTTAATTTCATTAAGAAAACTGTGAAACTGAAGGAAATATAGAAACAAAAAAGTCAGTTAACATGAGCAACATAAGATTAATTTTAAATAAAGTTCTTTCCCTTTAAAATCTCAGAACCGGCTTTGGGAGTTCTAGTGTTAAAGGCACACCCTGTAACTTTTGGCCACTAGGGCACTAGTGCCGCAGCGCTGTCGCAAAAGTAAACAGTCAGCCGGCCAGCCTCCGGTGTCTTTTGAGGTTTCCCTGCTCTCGCACTGCTGACTTTTATTGATTGTTGAATAACAGGCTTTACACGAGTAAAAATGACATGGAGAAAAAGTCCCGAAGCGTGGGTGTAATAGATTATCACTTCCATGTTCTACTTGTTTTCTTTTATGAAAAGTAGGAATCAGTCGTTTGAGTGGAGGGCCTGAGATTAACACATTCAGGCTGTGCGGTTGTTAGCTTTTGTTTTTAGCCTGCTAGCTTTCTCTGGTCGTATTTTGCTTCTACCAAACATCGAAAATAATAAAGATATCTGACTATATACTAGGGTCAAACACTGCTGCTCTCTGGAGAGCACTGCCGGGGCAGGCCTGAGGATCAGCGGTGGAGCTCAGTGAACAGCCACAGCCTGCTAGCTTTCTCTGCCTGCATTTTGCTTGTACTAAATATAAAAATTAATAACAAAGATATATGAACATATACTAGGAGAAAAGTGTTAAGTTACCAGTCTAATGCAAGAATTGATAAAAGACAATCTGTTTTACATGCGGCGGCTTCTTTCAGCCTGCGCAAACGAACCAACTCCTTTCCTTGATCGAAGGTTTAAACTTCTTCCTGTCTCAACCATGACTCGTAGTCGAGCAGGTGGGAAAAATTATAGAGCAAAAGCCTTAGCTCCACGAGTATATAAGGTAGCCTGATAAACCGGAATAAATGTGAGATTAAGTGTGTAATTTAGTCTGGCCCCGATGAATGAGACATTGGAAGATTGTTGATGAGAACAACCCGTTGTTTTTCAAACCATGTCTGTGCCTATTGGCCAACGCTCTGATCAATGAGCGCAACTGACTGTGACATAGTAAGAGCGACAGAATGCTGGTGGGGAGTGTCAACAAACAGCCTGTCTGTAAAGTGGCAAATATGTCCTTCTTAAAAATGAATGAGCGTAGAGCCTCTTCCTGCTCACGTTTCAACGAAAACAAGTCTAATCCTTCCAAAACTGATTCCAAAGCAGGGGCAAACGAGAACTCTTCAATAGTTGTTTCTGCATCCAGAAATTTAAAACACATCTCTGCGTTGTGATTGGCCCGCCAGTTCTAGGGCCTGGGGCATTGATCGAGGCTAGACCACTCGCAGGCAAAAATGATTTTGGCCGCTGGTGGGTTGAGCTAGTTTACTAGTATATATATAAGAGCCTGTAAACAATATGTTCTTTAAGGTCATGTGGCCAAACGGTGCGTATTTAATTTACATATTTGGTATTTTAAGAGGGGAGCCCCGTTTGTAGCATTGATAGTCAAGCGCTGTATTTTGTCCTGAGGAATAATTTTAAATGTCCCATATGTGTCAACTCTTTAGGTCGCAAAGTCTGCGGTGTTCCTTTAAATAGAGCATTAAAATGGTTATTTTACATGAAGAAAGAAAATGTTGCCACGTTGCACCACGTATCTTTATTAAACAGAGTCGTGTCATCAAATGGTGAATTTTTTCACCTCCAAATTAAACGTTTTTCTAGCCATGCTGTTATATGAAATGAAATTCTCTGGTGCCTCTGTGCTGGAGCCGCAGGTAGTGTTTTTAAGTTTTAGAGTAAAATGCAGCCGACAGTCTGCAGATGCAGTCTTTACCTTTGAAACACCGTGGCTGGTCCTTCAGGGAGGCTCAGCGGCGCAATGTTTGGAACTGCTCTGACAGACTAGATTGGCTGTGATCAACGGATGCAGTTAGGTGGCCCTGTGCTGCTTCCATGATCTGTGGAACCTCAGGGTTGTTGCTTTACTGAGGAACATTTTGTGATAATGCAGAGAAAAATTTGGTCTGAAAAAAACAACATGAGCAGCAAGTGGTACAAATTATTAATAATTTCTGCATGTTTGTACACAGCCTTGTGTGGGACAGATTATAATTTGCTTCCAACATTTCCTGGATTTTAAATACACTATATTGCCAAAAGTATTTGCTCACCCATCCAAATTATTGGAATCAGGTGTTCCAATCACTTCCATGGCCACAGGTGTATAAATTCAAGCACCTAGGCATGCAGACTGTTTTTACAAACATTTGTGAAAGAATGGGTCGCTCTCAGGAGCTCAGTGAATTCCAGCGTGGAACTGTGATAGGATGCCACCTGTGCAACAAATCCAGTCGTGAAATTTCCTCGCTCCTAAATATTCCACAGTCAACTGTCAGCTGTATTATAAGAAAATGGAAGTGTTTGGGAACGACAGCAACTCAGCCACGAAGTGGTAGGCCACGTAAACTGACGGAGCGGGGTCAGCGGATGCTGACGCGCATAGTGCGAAGAGGTCGCCAACTTTCTGCAGAGTCAATCACTACAGACCTCCAAACTTCATGTGGCCTTCAGATTAGCTCAAGAACAGTGCGCAGAGAGCTTCATGGAATGGGTTTCCATGGTCGAGCAGCTGCATCCAAGCCATACATCACCAAGTGCAATGCAAAGCGTCGGATGCGGTGGTGTAAAGCACGCCGCCACTGGACTCTAGAGCAGTGGAGACGCGTTCTCTGGAGTGACGAATCGCGCTTCTCCATCTGGCAATCTGATGGACGGGTCTGGGTTTGGCGGTTGCCAGGAGAACGGTACTTGTCTGACTGCATTGTGCCAAGTGTAAAGTTTGGTGGAGGGGGGATTATGGTGTGGGGTTGTTTTTCAGGAGCTGGGCTTGGCCCCTTAGTTCCAGTGAAAGGAACTCTGAATGCTTCAGCATACCAAGACATTTTGGACAATTCCATGCTCCCAACTTTGTGGGAACAGTTTGGAGCTGGCCCCTTCCTCTTCCAACATGACTGTGCACCAGTGCACAAAGCAAGGTCCATAAAGACATGGATGACAGAGTCTGGTGTGGATGAACTTGACTGGCCTGCACAGAGTCCTGACCTCAACCCGATAGAACACCTTTGGGATGAATTAGAGCGGAGACTGAGAGCCAGGCCTTCTCGTCCAACATCAGTGTGCGACCTCACAAATGCGCTTCTGGAAGAATGGTCAAAAATTCCCATAAACACACTCCTAAACCTTGTGGACAGCCTTCCCAGAAGAGTTGAAGCTGTTCTAGCTGCAAAGGGTGGACCGACGTCATATTGAACCCTATGGATTAGGAACGGGATGTCACTTAAGCTCATATGTGAGTCAAGGCAGGTGAGCAAATACTTTTGGCAATATAGTGTATCTATTGTTTTTTTGTAATGATGTATAAGAGAAGTATGCTGCTCTGATTGGCTAAAAGATTGAAATGGGAGGCTTCTGCCACTTGATTTACACAATTTTACTTTTAGGATGGGAGCAGAATAGAGGAAGCAAATTTAGCACTGCTTTAAAAAATATTAGCTTTTAATGCAAAATATCCCAGACCAGATTATTTAGATGAAGCTGATTTTTATTGGTCTAAATGCCCGCCCAACTCAATCTGGAGCCAAAATGCGTGATGCATTTTATACTATTAGGCATGAACATGATAAAACCCCATCATTGATCATACAAGCTTACTTTCCAAAAGAAGATTTGCAATTTTTCCACCAAGTCAGACTTGCCACCGGTAAGTGAAAATGGGGACGAGCACGTAGGACGGCCTTACGTAAACGTATCACCAGAATGATTGACAATTAGAAGAACCACTTATTTTGATGATCCACCCGGAAAAAGAACATCCTCCACTCTACCTTTAAACCCAACTTTTATTAGCTTTAAATTTCACAACTCGTATAAAAGCAAGATATGTTTTTCTACTTACTCCTTCACTCCAAAAAATACAACTCCTTTCATAAAAAAAAAAAACATGAGTAAATTTGACTTCCATTAGCAACGTGTTCAATGGCACAAGCTTTACACCTCATGATAAACACTTTCCTTCTAGCTGCTCTGATTGAGCTAATCAGCCTTTTATCTCTTAGAATCTATTAAATTAATGTGGAAATGGACTCAAGATTCTCAGATAAGGTTTTCTAACAGATAAAGAAACATTTATCAGATTAATAACAAAGGGTGGAATTAATTTCTATTCCAGTTGATAAATTCTTTTACATTTTTTGTGTTTTAGTTAATGGCGGTTTAAAATGTCCAATCTTTATTTTAAGTCAAATACAATTATTTTGGTCTGTGAAGCACTTGGACACAAGCTTTATTCCTATATTCTCATATTATCATAATTCAGATTAATTTATCTAATGCTCTTTGTGTGTTCACTATGAACAATCATTATACCCTGTGAGAATTCTCCTTTAGTATTTATTTTTCTTGTACATCTTTTAGGTTTCACATTTTTTCCCCCACTTGTTAATCATAACAATAATGTGTGCTTTTTCCTTTTAAACGACACCAAAAGACTTAGTTTGCTTTCACTGCTTTAGATATAAAAAGGGTAGATTTAATTTACTGATGGCAAAAATAAATGATTTTGTTTGATAAATGATAAAAAGCTTGTATCTTTTTTAGTGCTGTCAAAATTATCGCATTATTATCGCGTTAACGCGAGGCCATTTTAACGGCGATAATTTTTTTAACGTGAGATTAACGCTATGTGGTTTTATGGTACAATTTTCCAAGTACATCCCGCTGCAGCCTGCGGGAAGGCGGGGCTATTTTCCCCCAGTCTATGCATTTCTCATAGGCTTCGAGAGCGGACCTCCTCAAGGAAAAAAGACGCTGATACACTGGGTGACGCTAGTGCCTTTTCTTTAAGCCCCACCACCAACAAACAAGTTGAGTGTCTGGTAACTAGTAGCAACCTGAAATACGCTGAGAAAACAGATTACTGAGGTGAAATGGAATCTGCTACGGCACTCTTGCCGTCTGTGTACGCCACAGGTCGGTATCGTGTGTGTGTGGGTGGATGGGTGCTTGTGTGTGTGTTCTCATTTTTGTTAAGAGGCTGAAAAGTAACTTTCTAGAGCATAGACTACCTCCATCTAGTGATGTCGGTCTATTGATTTTGATGTATTGATTGAAAATTGTTCATTATTACCTTGGTTAATTAACATCTAATGTTAACTCTACTAAATTTTATAGCAGTAGGGTAAAATGCTTGTCTTTGTTCAAAAGACTGTATTAACTGTAAAGACTGTCTTTTACATCAGCCTGTTTTCAGGGCCTTTTTTTTGGCTACATATTTGTTATTTTTGGCATAAATCAGTATCTGTGACCTGTTTTCATTTTTAAAAAAGAACATTGGCACAAACCTAGCCTGTATGTATTTTTTTGTATGTCATCGAGAGTATTTAAATGATTTTCAATCAGGAAAAAAATGTGCGATTAAAATGCGATTAATCGCGAGTTAACTCAGGCATTGATGCGATTAATCGCGATTAAAAAAATGTAATCGATTGACAGCACTAATCTTTTTATATATTAGTTTTGTAAATGTAAAATATAAGTTTTCTAAAGCATGGTTTTAATGTCTTGTCCGTTTCCACCTTCCTAAGCTCCCAAGTCTCCGCCTGAGAAGACACGATACGACACCTCGTTGGGTCTGCTCACAAAGAAGTTTGTGGATCTCCTCGCTCAGTCTTCTGATGGTGTTCTGGACCTCAACCTTGCTGCTGAAACCTTACAGGTGAATTCCTATTTAGAAGTCAGAACCTTGCATTGGGTTGGTGAGAAATGGGAGAACTAGGGGGGTGCTTGTTGTAACTGAACTGAACTGGAGGGGGGACAAGGAGTGAAAAATGAAAATGTGGAGCTGTGCATGGAGAACTTTGTAGTCTGTTACAATTATGACACAAATCTTAACATGGGAGCCTTTAGGTTAACAGTTAATATGAAGATATTAAACAAAGCCCATTTATGGAGATGTTTCTTCACAGCATGCATTTTGAATTGACCGTTTCTCTCTGCTTTTGTCCATATTTGCTTTCAGGTTCAAAAAAGACGACTTTATGATATCACCAATGTATTAGAGGGTATTCATCTCATCAAGAAGAAGTCCAAGAATAACATTCAGTGGATGTAAGTGATCACAGACTTGCACTCCACCCTGTTATGTAGATGCCAAGTGAAAGAAGGCTGCTAGACTACAGTTATTTAGCTACAGCTGAGAAAGAAGCTGTTCATATCTCTTTTATTTCACCAATTATTCCATCCTATGTACTTTAGATAGGAAATGACAGACACTTGCAGGCATCAACTCTGTTCTTTGCTAACACTGTGCCAGTATCTTCAGTTGTTTGATAGAAAACATTGCATCACAAACAAAACTCCATGAATTTAGACAACAAACATCCTCACCAGAAAGCAGCCTCAGGTGAAACCTTGCTGTGTTTTCACTCTGCATCTCAATGCCTACTGTATTATCATCCCATTTGAGCCAAAGGAAATGCTAGCCCCTAGCTATTTGCATTTAAATCTCTGGTGCCAAAATAATGGGAAATTGTTCTTGATGTCAAGATTTTCTATCACTTTACTGCCACTTACCTCAGTTTATTTTATTTGATGGACCAGCACAAAGAATACATATTAACATCTCTATACAAAAGTAAATAAATCTTCCCTTTACTTTGATACCCTTTAAAAGACCATGTTCTAAAGCACTTTGAGTGTTTGCACCATTCAGTGTATCAGCTGTAAATGGAAAATGCTGGCACACCTAAAAAACCCACTGTGGGACCACAGACCTATATTGACCTACATGCAAATTCATGGGTGCAATAAAGAGACACAAGGTCCTCCAGACGTTTTTAATGCAGGTGGTAGGATTTAGGGCTAAAACAATAAATCTGATTGATTGTGATTAATCGATTATTGCAATAGCCGCTAACGATTAATAGTTAACTGCAGTATAGAGACTGTAAAACACCGCTTTAGCTCACAAAGTTACCCATTTAGAGCATTAATTATGTCAAAATTGTAAAAAAAAAAAAAAATATATATATATATATATATATATATATATATATATATATATATATATATATATATATATATATATATATATATAACATTCTGCATTTAAGACCTAAAAATAGTTTCATCTGCTAATATGCTCTATCCAGAACTCATCAAGTGGAGAAGTTTGAGTTTCCCCTGGTTTACTTCTGTGAAAAAAATCTTCTGTAAGGAACCTTTGGCTATCTGATTATTAATCGAAAAAAAAATTAAACAATTTGTAAAATAGTTAGTTGCAACCCTAGCCTGGATGTCCTCTATGGAAAATTGGCTTTAAGGATGACCTATTTGTCAAAAGCTGTGTAGGAGACAAAACACACTCTGGTGAGATGAAAACAAAGCTGACCTTATTTGCCCTCATGAAAGCTGCCATGTGTGGAAAAACTGCAACAGCCTGAACACATCATCAACACTGTTAATTCTTCTCTTCACAAGCGACTAGAAAGCTAGTAAGAGTTGATGGAGAATGGGGTAAATTAATTGAAGACCAGTCCTAAGAAATGAGGATAAAAAGATGGGGGGTCGGAGTAGAAATTCACCAGAGAGAATGAGAGGTATTGGGTTATAGAGAGCCGCTGCAGATCTTAAGATGTTCTGGGGACACCTTTGTCGTTTAAATGAATTATGGTGGAGCATGGATGCATTTTAAAGCTGCAGGACTGAGGTCCATGTGGACTGTTATAGAAAAACAATTCAACTTTTAGATTATTTTTAAAAATAGATGAATGCATCTTTTTTTTAATCAGTTCTTTTTGGGTTTTTTTAAGTTGATTGAAGTGGTTACTTTGTAACTTAATGTCGACATTATCCAGAGAGATGATCACTTTGTTAAAAAAATCTATTTTCCTTCTCCTTCTCAGGGGCTGCAGTCTGTTGGAAGTAGAGGGGGCTCTGAGCCAAAGGCAGAACCTGACAGCTGAGGTTTCTGCGCTGGGTGAAGAGGAGCAAAGGCTTGAGCAGCTCATCCAGAGATGCAGCCTGGATATAAGACACATGAGCGAGTTACCAGGCAACCAGAAATATCCTTTTTTAGTTGGATTTGGATCGACACACGTGTGTGAAGATTCCTTTCATTTTTAAAATGCAGAGTTTTAGCAGGTATGTAATGTCATCGGGGTTTACTTCTTTCACAAGGATCTCTCCTCAAAACTCTTGAACCAAAATCAAACACCCTATTATTTTCTCACTGTACAACATCGCAGGCTAAAGGTTTACAGTTTTGGATCGATTAGGTTTACTAAAGTTATTATTGTTTGCTAAATCTCTAAAATTTAAAGCCTAATGTATATATTTTTCTTTTGTAAATTTCCACTTTTAACTGTATGACTTGGATACCAAAGGTATTGATTATTTCCCAAAATAGCTACATTTCTGCCATTTATTCTAGTTCCAGATGGCCGTTGAACATGTTTCTATCTTACAGCTACTGTTTAATGGCGTATTGGCAGAGTTTTGGTATAAAAGCAGTTCAAAGGATGAAAATCCAGACATGACGCTGAATTTGCTATGACTGCAAACCTTTCTTTTTCTTTTAATTTATTTATGTATTTATTTGGCAGGCTTTAAAAAGCAGCTAGGTTAATATCGCGATCATAGAAATCTTTTTTATGCAGACCGGTCGCCTCCGGGTGCATTGCTGCCCCCCCTCAGGACACTGGCTTGTGCATCATTTCATGGGCATTATGCTGCCGTGTGTTATGCATAAGTTAGGCTGTCGTTGGACATAAGTTCTGGGCTCCTTATTAATACTCTATGTATATGCCCAAAATAGAAAAATTACATAGAAAGTTCAGCGTATGCCAGCGTTTAAGAAGATTCTGGGATGTCAGGATACATTGGCTAAATTGTCATTGTGTGACGGGGGCTTTATGAAAGAAAACCAGATCAGACCAGATTCAGTTATTCATTTTTGGTAATTTATTACCAAATTGCTCTAAATCCTTGTATGTAACAAGCTTCAATAATATCAGATGTTTTCTGAAACGTTAATGCATCCTTTTGTAGTTTTACTCTAACCTGTCCTGTGTTCATCTTGGTAATAGTTATGTTTCTTTAACCCTGCTGTTTGCACATATGCTTATATAACGTACCAAGACATCAAACAGCTGAGGAGCCTGAGAGACCAGACTGTTATCGTCGTCAAAGCGCCAACAGACACAAAGCTGGAAGTACCGGACCCTGATGAGGTTTGTGCAAGTTCCCACAGGCTGGATGTCTTTGTTCTTTCACTCTCCTAATCTGATGTATGGGTTGCAGTTTGCTTAGTGATGATTGACATAAAGGATCCACTTGTTAGTGCTGTACTGCACTGTGGGCCGTGGATATTATCTGTATTTATATGTCGTTTATATGACGTCTTTTTGTGTCTCTGTAAACTGGAATGTTTTTAACAACTCCACAGTTGTTAAAAACTGCATCCTAGTTTCAGATTTTTTCAAAGTTTATTTGCTGAAAGTATGTCTGGATCTGTTGGCAATGTTTGGATCATATTTATTAGCGCTCATTTAAGGATGACTTGTGACTACATTTGTTGTAAATCCAGTGTTTATGTTTTTTTTTTTCTTTTCTCCAGAGTCTGTCCATCCACCTCACCAGCACCAAGGGTCCCATTGAAGTGCTCTTGTGCCCAGATGAGGAAAATGAAATAAGTCCTGTAAAGAATGGCAGCACAGACATAAATGGAAACTCCCCTTTCCTAAAAGTTGTCCAAGGTCAGTTTCAGATACCAGTGAAATACTTCACAAAAAGACTAAAGATTGTATAAATATTAGACTGTTAAGTTCATTTATAGATAGCTCTAGTTTATCCTTATAAGATAAGAGTAGAGAGTCTTTACATAAGTTCAGGTTTTATAAACATTTTGGGTTGAAAAGAGGAGTCAGAGTAGTCAGAAAAACTTTTATTTAAAACAGTTGCACTTCAGGTAACACAGGGAGAGAAAAAAACATTTTAAACAGGGTTTCTGTGGATCATTAAAAGTAATTAAATTATTTTTTAGATTAAGGCCTTAATTGGCATTCAAATTAATTAAATGTGATAATTGTGGCATTTAAAATGCTTTATTTAAAAATAAAAACGATCATAAAAGCAATTTTGTCAGATATATTTCTATATGTTTGTACAGAAGTAATATCGGTTGATTGTAAAGTCGAATGTTCGGAGAAAAAGCTAGAGAATGGGGAAAATGCTAATTTCAACAAAAGTGGCTGGAAAACCAGGGATTCGGGACATGGCTGCCCCCTGTCGACTGTAAATACATAAATATATATGAGAGTCATGGGTTTTTGTTGATGGCATTAAAATTATTTTTAAGAGCATTAAAAAGCATTAAATTAGTGTTACTCATTCCTGTATAAACGCTGTAAAATGATTATAGTCATGGTTACATCTATCAGCGGACAAGACGAAAAGATTTCTAAAATCACAATCAATTAAGACATAACTTTTTTTTTTTTTGCATCTTTACTACTTTATCAGATGTTAAATCCCCTGATACTGCGCTAGTCTCTACACTGTTCCACTTTTTAAACGGATGCTAACTTATTAAATAACCTGCAAACAAAACAGAAGGATGTAATATAAAAAGAAGTTTGTTAAACCCGAAACGATAAAAAAGATAAAAATGGATCATAATCTGTTTATAAGAAAAATAACAGGTTGTTTTGGGATTCTTTAAAAGAAAACATTAGATTACCTTGATGCAGTTCATTTGTTTTAAGAGCAGGTTTCATAGATTAATCACTTATTATAAAAACGTCGCAATAACTATAAAAAGCGTTACTATAAAAACGTCACTAACTATAAAAAAGTGATTAACACAGTTATGTATCTCATAATAAGATAATAAGCTGGTAAATCTCTTATCTACACCATAAATGGAAAACACTTTTCAGGGCTGTACACTTGGCTTTTTTTACCAGGAGCAATAGGGCTCCCAAATAAAAATTCACTATGAATTTTCTTACATTTTCTTCCCTTTTTGTATTATTTAACAAGTTTAACAATTACTGTTTCATGAGGCTGTCTTTTTTTTCAAATGTGGGTTTCCAATTACAAATGCTGAATTACCTGCCTGCTTCTGCTCTTTGCAATATCAGGTAGTCCTTAAACTCAGGCCAATGGAAGAGTTGGATCCGCTCTTATTTAAACTTGTAAACCTTGTTAGATGTGTAGCTTAAATCATCAACACACAAAACGCTAAATGAATGTCCTGACACTAAATCAAATTTAACTTGAAGGCAGTGACCTCCTTGGCCAATCCAGTGGGAGGGATAAAAGCCACCTTTTGTCCCCCCTAAAGGCCTGGTTATACTCCCTGCAGCAGTGTGTCGCAGATACTTTTGATTTATGCCCAATATTGAGGCTTGGTCTGCGCTATGTTATTGCACCCAACAACCCAAGAGGGACAATCACGACCTAGCTTGGGGTCTAGATACTGCCAAGGTGGTGAGGAAGTTGGGACAAGTTTGTGCGACAACGGAGGGACATGAGGGCGAAAAAGAGCGGGGATACTAATGGAAAAAGGGTCCCAGTGTTTTCGCGCACCTCGCTGTTCTAGCTTTTCCAACTTCATGAGTCGTTTTCCACAATGACGGTCATAAAAGCAAAACAAGCTGGTAAGGTACCAAACAGGAAATATGCATAGTGTAGAGCAGATGTAGATTTGACCAATCAGAGGCCTCCTGTCTGCGATCACCTACAATTTTGGAGAGTTGCAGCAGTGTTTGTCCGGCAGGGCTGGGGCCACATTTGCATTCACTGAGACACACGCAGACGACCTGGTTTCTGAGTAAAAATCAGCCTTAACTCTTTGTTACACCTACAGTATATTAATCGCAGTGCTCCCCACCACTAGTTAGAACTGATGAAGCCTCATGGATGAGAGGCGAAATGTCTTCTAGAAAACTTCACGTCCACTTGCCTAATCTGAGCCTTTTCAATCTTATTTTTTCCTTTAACAAGGGAAGTATTACTCAGCAGTCAGTCTCTCCATTTGACTTGGTCACCAAAAGGAAAACAGATTTCATTAATCAACTGGTAAACTTTATCATCTCAAAGAGCAAAGTTAGCCTCTTCTCTGGCTGTTCTTAAGCTAACACCAACTGCCCAAGGATAGATTATGCTGTCCCCTTGTCCTGCACCTTTCCCTCATATATCCTTTTACTCCCAGGTTATAATTGTTTTAGTAATTCTTTAAAAACATTTTTTTCTAGGACTGGGGGGAAAAAAGTAATTAAAAAAATAAATCTTCCCTGTTTGTGTTTACTTCTGTGGGGCTCCACAATGTGTGCAGACAACCTTTGTACCTCTTAATGAATAGTTGTTCTGTTTTGCCCCAAAACTGACAGTCACAACCTGGCTCAAAGGATGTGACTTCAACAAGTGGGAAAAGGGCACAGGAGGAAGGTTTTAAAATATATTTTTTTGCATTTTCCTTCAAAATAAACAAAAGCCAGGTGTACGAAGGTTAAATGTAAATGTTGAGTTTTCAACTGGGAAACTAAATAGCAAATCTGACCCTGGAGGAACGAGCATGACAGAGGGAGGAGTGACGACCAAGTCGTCACGCTACTCACTGTAAGATCGCTCCACCCACATGGAAATGTGACCCGGGATGAACTGACCGGCTGCACAGCATCCAGGCTTTTTATAGGGCTGAAGGTCCATATGTAGCGTTCTCAGTCAGTTTACCTGCTGGAATTCAGCCAATGGCTGCAATACTACAGCAGCTCAGCATATCCACCAACCTGTAGGGCTGTCCCTTTTTTTTTCAAATCAAGATGACAATCTTTCCTGTGATTCATTTATATTTTTAGGACAGGCTGGTTTTACAAAGCTGAGCAGAATTTTTTTTTACTGTGAAACAATCTTTAGCTTCGTCAGCAATTAGATTGTGATTGCAGACTCTGTAGCATTTGGTTGTTTCTCTAATCGTGGGGTTTTCACTTAAGATCGGCTTTGTTTCTATTATATTATATCTGACTTCTAGGTCTGTTTTTATTCTGTTTGGTTTTTTTTTCATTTGTATTTTACTAGCAAGGATTTGAAAGTTGAGTGATTGTGTGCTTACAATGAAAACGAGTATCATTAGTCATAATGTTCATCGTCATCTTAAAATTTGCAATGTCATGTTTTCCGAATCTGAGTCATCTATTCTAAAAACTAGCGGTGTTTTTTTTTTTGTTGCAGATTCACATTGCACGACCACATCTCCCAGCAACTTCCTGTCTCCACCCACATCCTCCTCCGCCGTCTCCGTGACAACGCTGTCCCCCATCTCGTCCCCATACACCAGTCTCCTCCAGCAGACAGAAGACCAGGTCCATTCATCCCAAGGTCCCTTCTTAAACCTGGTGCCTCCCATTCTGGAAGATGACTACCTTTTGGGTTTAGAAGACGACCAGGGAATCAGTGACTTGTTTGACGCCTGTGACTTTGATAAAATGCCCTCGCTTGGCCTGGATGATCTCCTGTGCAGCTAGCATTGGCTGAAAGACGGAGATGGAAACGCAGAGCTTTGATAGTGTCTTTCATCCCCCTCCCCCCCTCGGATATTTTTTAACACAGGTGGAAGAAACTGTAGGTAAAGGGAATCGGCTCTCTTCACAAAGCCTTTGTACAGAAAGGCAATTTGAAGGAAAAAAACGCCACAAAACTTGGCATTAGCATCACTGTCCTGGTTGACTGTTGAGTTTAACATGGCGGCATGATCACAAAAGTCCAAATGCAGAAAAGGGGAACCATGCAAGTAGATTTTTCTTTCATTTCATAGTTTCAGGTTTATTTTTTACAATTTGGTGCGCAGTACGAAACCCCTTATGTGTTTAATGCCAAGTGTCGTGGGTGAGAGAGTAAAGAATTTTAAAAATAGATTTCATTTTATTACAACAAGGATGTGTGTTTGAAGGCTGTGCCGCTATAAATGTGGCACCCTTGTGTGCAAATGTAGAATTGTTTTTTCTTTTAGATGTGAAAAATATGAAAGGTAAGGGTCAGGAGGTGGTTTGGCGGCCACCCTCGTATGTTTGACCACCATTCTCCAAATGAAAGCCGCATGTCACTGTTTTGGTGCACAGGTGAATGTTGGGTGCTGTGACAGCTTGTCTGGAGATGGTCTTGTTGTGATAAAGTGGGGCGCTGCAAATTATAATTGTGCAATGTGTATACAACATAAAAGTTTAGTCTCTTTGAAATTGCAGAGCCCCTGTCGTGCACACAAAAAAAGCCATAACCCTTCTGAAGTCAGAGGTTTAGCAGATATGTAAACCTATAAATTTTCTGCAGTGCATAGTTTTTGAAACTTTGTCAATTCAAAACCCAAACAGCTTCGTCTTGCTGTTGTCCTGTCTCCTAAATTCCTGCAATAGTCTCATAAATTCCTGTTAAGTAAGTGTGCTTGGAACCTTTTTTTTTCTTCTCATTTTTAAATGTTTTAACACTTTCCAACTGAAGATCGTGAATGAATCTGATCATTTCTGCCAGATATACAAACTTATCATCGTATTTTTCACCCTTGGTTCTGAATAAAACCTTATTCAATTTAGAAGCTGCCTACATATCAGCCCCCCACTGGCTTTTATCAGTCACAGATAATCCTCCTGCTGCTAGTGTTGACCCCTCCCCTCAGACTTGACTAATGTGTAATAGTGTGTACAGCATGAATGAGTTGACAGATTAAGCCAGCTGTGTGTAAGTAAACTCATGTACAGTTTTCTATTTTTTTTTCCATCAATGCACAAGGTACTGTAGGCTACCTCTCACTAAATGTTAGAAAATAGTAATAGATTCTAGAGGTCAATGCCATAGTGAGTGAGATTATTTGAATTCCCCTTTTGTTATAGAAGCGGGGTTGGATTTTACAACATTAAATGTTAAGGCTGAAAATACCAATGCTCTTATATCAGTTTGATAACATATTTTAAGTCATTCAAAGGGTGCATGTTTGATGTGGAAAAAGAAAAAAAAAAATGGATGCAATGAAAATAATTTCTAGATGATTTCTATACGTTATTTAGTTTTTGTTGGGTTAAAAAGTAGAAAATCTTGTAATAACCCCCACAAAAACAGCTTTTCATGACTTAATTCATTATTATTTACTCTTAAAATTGTGTCGGTGCTGCTGAGCAACCGTGTATGATCACAGGGTTCCTACATTCTTGGAAGAACTGAAGTCTGATGCTTAAATGGGAAGTCAAATGTTTCAATCTCCAGATTTCATTAGAAAATCATTTGGACTGAGGAAAAACTCTCCGTCTGTGGACCCTTTGAAAAAGGTTTCAAAGAAAAGGTCATGTGGTTCTTGGACTGTCTTTACATGCCAAGAAAAACTTTCTGACTTTTAGACTGAATTTGTTTTTACTGTTTTCTATATGTGATAATGGACAAATCTAGACACTATAGATCTAGGACTGAAGCTGAACCTAAAACCAAAATTTGTTGGAACTCTGTGATCAGGTCTTAAATTTTCTACCAACATGGAGACGGTTAAAAACCCTGTAATTTCCCTTTATTATGGAGTGCCAAGAGCGATTGATCGAAGAGTTACCCTAAATCTGTTAAATTTTGGCTTTATCAATAATTTTACACGAAGCATATTTACAATACTCCCCAGTTCTTGTAGATGAGCTATTTTGCATCCATTTCAAGCAACCAACTATTTTTTGTGTGATGAAAATGTTTCCTGTGTTTTTTTGGGGGGGGTTTTGGAAAATATACTTTTCAATAGATTTACAAAGAAATGTTCAAATATTTTAAAAGCACCACTGAAGGATAGTGTTTTTTACTAGAATCGGTGACGTAAAATTGACGCTTGTTTTTCTATGGTATGATTCTGATGTGTGATTAGATCCTGCAAAACTACTTAGGATTGTTATAACAGCTCAAGTATAGATCAGATCGATATCTATCTGATTTACGAACATTCTTGAGCTGTTACCAAATACAAACCTACACATGAATATATTTGCAAATGTTTGTGGGGAAAAATAGGAAAAATCTGGCTGGATAAATATTGCCTGGTTTCACTAACCCTGAAGAAAACTAATTTGCAGTTTGAATGCATGGGTGACAGTGCTGTTGAATGTTAAGTAAACTAATTGGATGTTTTTTTTTTATGTGTGTTGTCCAGTTCTGAATTGTTTCTCCGTAAAGTTGGGATTTTTGAGTTTTGGGTGGGTTGGCGGGTCTGGAAAGGAGGTAATTTGATGCTTTTTTGTATTCTGGAAATTTGCAATGGAGAAAAAAAATAAAATAAAGCAATATAAGCCAATAATTTCTTGGCATCTCTTATTTAAATGTGTCTGCATAGTGGTGGAAAAAAGAACATTGAGAAATATTGATCTTTAAGTTCCATGCCTAAACAATAATCAACAGAGTGAAAGTTTCTCAATTCAGTTAATTTATATAGCACCAATTCACAACACGTCATCTCAAGGCACTTTACAGTTCACAATACAATCGATTTGATTCAAAGTTTTCTATCTAAGGAAAACCAGTTGATTGCTTCGACTAATTAACTTGAAGGCAAACCCTCACAACAAGCAGGCTAGTAGCGACAGTGGAGAGGAAAAACTCCCTTTTAACAGGATGAATCCTCAAGCTGAACCAGGTTAAGTGTGAGCGGTCATCTGGCGAGGCTGATTGGGGTTCGAGAAGGCAGTGTGTTTGAAATGGTGCTTTCTCTATTGATTATTATCAGCTCATTCTACACTATGGTGAATTCAGAGAAGTGGTGGCTATGCTTCTATACATGATACAAAAGTATAGGGTTACACTTTCAGACACTATGCAATCAAAGAAACCAAAACGTAGAATTAATAAGCCCCAATAGCCACTTATCAAACATTGCATTAGAAAATGTTTAGAGCAATCTAAACTAAGTTTTCCTCCAATGTCCAAACTATGATCAGTACTCAGTGACACTATTTGGTGCCAAGACTGAAAACCAGTAGTGTGCAACTCATGAAACGTTATAGATGCACAGTTGTAGTGATGATTATGTTTGGAAGTTTGTGTATTTACAATCAATCTGGCTCTCATACAGAAAACAAATGATTTATGGTTCCCGCCCTACCTGCAGGAAAGACTATTCAAAATACCTGAAGATATATCCAGCTTTAGTCTATTTTATTATCCTTACCTATTCCCCACCTTTAAAATTCCAACAAACATTTTTTTAAATTACACTTTTGACTTTAAGTTGTGCATTTTAAACTTTATCAATTTAACACTTTAGTCGGAGTCTATATGTGTAGCATAACACCTTTTTCAATAGTATACAATAAGTATTGTCTGATCAATATACACACTACTTACACACAATATGTGTGTAAGTAGGGATTTCATACATTGTGTAGTTTTTTTCAGTTTCTTAAATCAAAATATACTTTCTAAAGCTTTTGAAAGGGCACATACAGGATTCCCATATTAATTGGCAGCTATTACAACAAAAATCATGCTTAGACAAAAAAGTGACAGACTATGTTTTAAGTTTGACTGAAGAATGACTTCAAATGTCTTAGATAGTGGGATAAATAATAGGTCTGGGCATAATAAATACAGTTATATAAATTGTGTTGGTTTTTCAGGGAGGATTGCAATTAGATGTTAAAATATTCCAGGAATACCAAATCAATCAGTGGTCATTCCCGCTCTGCGTATGCAAAAAATAACTCCGGTCTCATTTGTCCCTCGTTGCTTGCTGTACAAATACAATCATGGCGGCGCTGGAGTTGTAAGATCTGTTTTTGTTTTGCAAATAAACCAACATTTTAATAAAAAACAAACTCTCTCGTTGGGATTTGAATTTACCTGAACTTATAACGATATTCCAACTCGGGTAAGCTACCTTGTAGGAAATGTAAGATGCGTGTTGGTAGATAAACAGAGACACGTGGGTCATAGTTAGCCTGTGCTGCTAGTGGAGCTAACAGCTAGCTGATGTTTGCCTGTGAAAAAAAGAATAAACTTTTCATGCTCTTACATGTTTTTTTAACCCCGCTGTTTCTAATTACTGTCGGTCCATTGTTTGCTCTGGTTATTACTGTATGTGAGTTTTGATATAATGGAAAAAAAGGATGAAAAGTTAAATCTGCAGCTCGTAAAACAGGTGATAAACTTAGCGTTTGGTAGATTTACTACATATTTTTATCCTTTAATGTGAATTGTGCATTTTATTTTATGAATAGTATTGGAAACCGTGAATGTCTGCATTTTTCATGTTGCTCCTGAATGGGTTTTTTTTTTTAGACTCCATCTAATTTAAATCTTATCAATAAACCTAAAAAAATAAACACCCAGAGTATTTATCACTAAATTTTAAGACCAACTAGTGTTTCTGCAAGGAGAATATTTGAAGCAGAAAGGGTAGAGTTACAACCTATGTTTTAAACTAGATATTTTATGCTTTACATTGAAAAGAGGAAAACCTCTTTTCAACCAAAAAGTCAGACATCAAACCTTTAAAGGGAAGAATAATATAATAAAACCGACAGTCATTTTTCAAATGTTTGCTGAATATGCTTTTTAATGGAGTTTTTGTAGTTTGGTGGCGGTCAGTATTAGAGACAATAACTGGAAGCAAATGTGGGAACAAATTTGTCCTAAGTCACTCCATACATAAAAAAAATGCAGTATGACTGTTAAAATATAAATAACAGACATTTTTTCCGCACCTATAAGAGAAAAGAGGCAATAGACTTGAAGTTTAGGCGGGAAGAAAGTAAAGTAAATGGACATTTATTCCATTCTTATTTATATGCAAATTTAGGTTGAAGCTTAAATAACCCTATTATTTTTTCCCAAATTCAATCACAAATCTTAATTACTCAAAAAATAAAATGTATACATATATACATTTAAGTCATGGAATGGTGTTTAGACTTAAGATCTCAACCTTTTAGCTCTATTTCAAAATATTTTTAGACTTCATTTTAGAACTCACTGTTTCTCGCTAACCCTGGTCCATCTTATTAGTTTTGATTAGTTTTTCTAAACTTGTGAACCTAGAATACTCTCCTATTATAGTATTACAGCAGGTCCTGAAAAGATGACTATTTTTTTCCAGTCTCCACCCTGAAAAAAGTGCAAAACATTTCATTTTTTCCCCCCATCCCTATTATATTGTAGAATAAATTAACTAGGCATGCACATTATATCGGTATTAATATCGGTATCATCCAGTGTTAGTTCTTTTTAAGTACATGTATACAATTTATAAGTACATTTTTTTTATTATATTTTAAAACTTAAGATTTTAAAGAAATACATCTTCAAAGTTTTTTTAATTTGGGCCAAATGCTTTATCTGATGTTGGAGTCTCAGTGTTTATCATTATTTGTGTCCGATCTTATCTTCTTTCATTCTCTTATTCTGATATTATCTGTTCCCATTCATACACAGTCTTATAAAACACTCTTGGGTCCTGAATTTATTTAAACTTTCAGTTTTGGATTGTATGTTCTATAATTTAATTATCTAAACCCCTACTGTGCAACCTATACATTTGTTTTATGTTTTTTTCAGATCACTATGCCGTCCGCCTGTGACTCTCTGATTGAAGACATTGAGGACATGGTGTCTCTTAATGACCCCACTCCTCATGACAGACAGTCTGCAAGGAAGAGTATTATACCAAGGTCCAGAAAGAAGAAGGAGCTTCTGAGCTCCGAAGAGCTTCAAGCAGACAGGTACTTTGTTAGCTTAGACATCCATTACAGGTTTGATCCTTTTAAACTGAAACTTTGGTTGAACCGGATGAGCTTAAGAAACAACAAAGGCTGAATCTCATCCTACTAATTGCGTCAGTCTGATGGACAATGATGCTACGTTCACACCGGATGCGCTTTGGGCAGCAAAGAAGAGCCTGCTGCTTCATTTTTGATACTTGTACCCAGTAAGGTCAGAGCATCAAAGATGTTCCTGAAGCGCGTCCAGTAAAGTGTGTCCAGATGCGTCTGATGCTTCTGCTGCTTCTGTCTTCAATGGCAGAGAGCGGCTTTGCTATATTTGCTGTTATAAGTGTTAAGTAGTTTTAATATGTTTTTAAGTGAGAAAGTCCACTTCTAAACTTCATCTATGCAGTCCGTTCATCAAGATTATGATCCTCCCTTAAAATATAATTTTGCTGTTGAAGATCCCCCTATACCTACAGTGCGTTGTCACTGGGAATCCCCGCAGCAGCTGTATCAGGGCTTTTGTTGTCTCTCCTCTAATAATCTAACATATTTTGGCAGCAGGTTTCAACTTTTTAAGTTAATTTAGGCGTTAATAAACTGTTTCAGGGCAGTGATCATATCTGCATCAGCAGTGCTGTTTCCGTCTCCCTGCCGGCTCCCAGATCAGCTTCTCTGATTGGTTGATGTGTCGGTTGAGCAGCAAAAGTTAAATTTTTCCAATTCCAGCAGCTGCTGCTTGTGAATCGCATCAGGTGCTTCAGCCGCTCAGAAGATCATGAAGCGCTGCTCAGATTCATCAAGATGCGCTGCAGGACCCATTGATGCGCGTCAACCATAGACTTTGCATGTAAACCAGCTGTTTTTGCTGCTTCAATCACAAAGAGTTGCTAATAGGTCCTGAAAAAACAGAAACTCTGAAATGAAACATCTTCATGCGTGTGGTTAGTGCAAAAGAAAATCAAAATAAGAGATATTGGTTTAAAATAATAAGAGTTTGTTTTTTTTGGCTATAGCTTTTAGCCCTAATTTACAGGGTTTTTACATAGTTTTTTTTTCATTCTGTTTTATTTTGTCTGAAATATAATTAAACTAGGTGAGATGGCTGATATCAGAGTAACTAAAACCCACACAGAAAAGCTGGTTGTGGAGCTGCGAGGCAACGGTGCTCTAATCACTGTGTCCGCCACTAGGCAGGAATAAACACAAAGCAGCAAAGATCACAAGCTGCTGTAAAAAGAAACTGAAAATTATTCTCACCACTCTACCAAATCATAAGCTTACTGGAGCACGATAAAGACAATAAAACTCCTGGATGGGTGGCTTATTCTATTTCTGTTTGTAGAGCTTCTTCATCCTCATCACCTCTGTTGAAAATCATGCGGCATTTTTACGATTTACCATCTAGATGTTCAGAAAGGCATCACACCTTTCCGCCATGACCGCTCACATAAAAGAACTGCCTCTTTGTCTTCAGTGACCTTTCATGGAACCCAGATAAAATGTGTAACAGTGTAGATTTGGGCTGGTTTCCAAATAGTACCAAAATGATTTACTCTGTAAAGTTGAAAGTGGAGTATTCAGTCTCTTTGGTAGTTGTCTTTAGTTGTTTTTTGGCAGAAGAGGCCCCATCTGAATGAGACTGATCCAGAAGGAGACGTACCTATAACGCTTGTGAGCAGCGTGAAGCAAGAACTCTTCTACAACTGCTGGTTGATCATTGTGTTGATGTTGCACATCAGAAAACAGTAGAGTAGCAGCAGCAGCTGACATAGCGCCACACTGGACTCAAAGCAGAATGGATTCTCTGTTTCTACTTTTCCTTCAGACTTTGTAGCCTTGATTTCAAAACAAAATCAACACTTTTATGAATATACTCAGATAACGCCCTCTTTGAATAACAAGCTTCATTTGTAACTACCTTTTTAGCTTAGCCTCCTTATGAATAGACTGTCCTCATCTGTCATGTCAGCAGATTGTGAAGCTTACCTTCCCAGAGTAAGAGAAGATTTTAAGGTTCAAGAGAGCTTTGCTGTCTATTTTGAGTTGATTACCTTAAACTATAGGTTTCCGTTATTTATTATTATTATTTACAATATTCATTTTTCAAGACGCTGAATTTTGTAAGTTGCAATCATCATTTACAAGAAATAAAGTTTAGAAATATTTACATGTCTTCTTTTGTTTTGTCCCTTACTGAACGGATGTAATGAATGAACTTATGATGCAGGGCTGCCATACTGATTTGATATTTAATACTTTGTTAATAATTTGTGTCTTTTTTCCAGTTTTATCCCTGGTACCCAGAAGATCTGGATGAAAACGTGGGGCTGCAGTCATAACAACTCAGATGGAGAGTACATGGCCGGACAGCTGGCTGCCAGCGGATATAAGATGACCGGTAAGAACTGTGGTGTCATCAGGAGATATGATGGAAAACAATACTGACAAATTCATACAAAAGGATGGATTTGTATTTGCACCAAGCAGAAAAATAATATAAAATAGTGTAATTTTCACTTTCTATGTAAGGCTCACACTCATTGAAAAACATGACAATAACATTAATAAACACAAGAGGGCAGTGTTGTGCTGTTTGTGAGCAGGCTGTGTTGTTTTTTTCTGAATAAAACCGCCAGGATTTTTAGTTTGGTGGCAATTTAATTATTATTTTAAGCCTCATAGAATTTTTTTTACTTAAATAAAGATATTTTATTTTTTTATTAATGATCGTTGTTGTAGTGCAAATGCTTGAACAGAACAACTTGGCCAGATTGCAAATGCTTAAAACAATTTTCCTATGAAACGCTTCCTTTCTTTCTAAGATTTGCATGGTTTTTGCACAGAGACCAGACATTCATCTGGTTTTATTTATTCACTCGGTTATGTGTGATTAGTTGTGTAACCGGTATAACAATGGTTTTTGTGAGCAGGAGCACATATGTGTGTTATTTTTTAGAGACTGAGACAAAGAGCAAAAGGAGTCTCTCCCTCAGGCGTTTTTCTCTACATGGGGTCTCCCCAGCCAATGAAGAGACATTAATCACATATTTCAAAAAATGCAAATGTGCCCATTCATTCACATGCATGCAGTCTGTATCCACAATGCCCTCCTTAGCACGAACCAACATGTTTTGTTTCCCTCGTCTGGTCATTTAAACCTCTGATCTCTCCATCTTTTCCACCTTCCTTTGTTTTACTTTTTTCTTTGTCCCATGAGTTTTTCTGTGTTACAATGCATCTCTTAACTTAATTCCTCCTCACTGCGTCGTCTCTTACCTGCCCTGGAAAGCAAATCTTTTGTCCAACCATCTGCTGGGGATTTCCTTGCACTGTTTGTCTGTTTAAAAGTGGAATTTAAAACTTGAGGAGGTTGTTTTTTTCTATATATCTGTTCTCTGTTGCTAGGTGCATGAACTGTGTTTTTTAATTTAATCAGAGTATACATGTCTTAAGGTTCAGTGCAAATAAAGATCCAGGTGTATTATAGATAAGGTTAGTTTGCAGTTACAAAATGAGATTTTCTTATCTCTGTATTAAGTTAGTTTCTGCTCAATCCTCTGATTTGAAACAGAACTCTGCAGTAATCACCCAATTACAGTGGTCCCTAAGAGTGTTCAGCATTTGTTTTAGATCAAAGCCTTAAATTATTTTCAATTTGCACTCGGGGGGAAGGTTCCTTTTTTCAGTACTTAATTCATAACACAGATATCTGTGCAGAACGAAAAGCACTGTGGGTCTGTAATGAAGTGATAAAGATAAAAGCAAGGGCTGTTGCGTATCTCGGCGTGGTGTCCAATATGTCCCCAGAAAAAAAAAATATAAAACCGGACACATTCAGGGCAAGGAATTCGATTGCACACATAAACAGTCTTCGTTTGGTTGAATTCAAACCAAACAAAAGAACCTGAGAAGATGGATCCTTAATTTCAGGAAGCCAATCATCTAACAGTATTAACAAAACCAAAAGAAGTAGAATAAAGTGGAACGTCCCAAAGTGTAAATAGATTCCTTTAGTTGAACAGCTCAGCATGGAGGTGAGAGAACATTGCTCTCTAGACATGCTGTGCAAAGCATAGGAACAAGTTAAACAATAATAGTAATTCCTAGTATCTGCAGGATTTATTCAAACATTTGCATAAAATCATAGCAGAGAAGCATCTGTGCTTACATAAGTTCTGTTGGTAATGTGACAAACATACAAGTTTTTTTTCTTTTCTGACATCAAAAAATTAAAAATAATTAGATGCAGCCTTCTGAGCATTTAGAAATTCAGTTCTTCATCTGGAGAGGCAACCATTATTGCATAAATGTCGAGACCTGGCTTCTTACCCACTGCTTGTCAGTCAATCCAAAAAAAAAAATACAACACAAAAACTGAGGTTTGTGGTTTTAATAAGACAACAGCTGAGAAGGTGAAATATTTTTATCTCCCGGTGTAACTCGGATAATCCTACAAAAACATAAAGACTTTGTTAGTTCTGCTGATAGCTTTCCATTTGCTTAGATTCATTTTTTTGCAAACACCTCCAAAGGTTGGATCAGATGCCTTTTATTAAAACGCCAGTAAAGACACACTTCATGTAACAATCAACCAAAAGTTTCTCTGTCTTAAAATCATTAACTAAAAGTTGATGCTTTTTGTTTTTCTTGTCCCCTTACCCCCGACCCTCCTCACTGAATGTTAGACTTTCAATGCTCTCTACATTAACTATCCTAGAATAATACCCAAAGGGGCAGTTAATCATCTTCATCACACAGAAACGTAGAGACGAACCTGAAGCTACCTGGAAACAAGTTGGTTTTGAAGCCCAGGGCTCCTGTTACTAATCATTGCTGTGGTTGGAGAACATTTTGACCTCAGATTCGTTCTGGGAAACCAATGTTTTGTAACTGACTGTTTTTACACACAATTCATTGAAGAAAGTTGATTAGTAGCAGGTATCTTTTAGATAAAAAAAAAAAAAAAAAAATCTGGGCATATTTGTGCATTAAGTGCACATTTTTGCATGCTTGACCTCTGCCTAAAATTAATTTTAGTTGATCCACATGAAAGGGGGTGTTTTCATGTTTTACTCCATCCTTCTGCATTAACTTTAAGCTTGTAATCTAATCTTGTGCAGCATTAAAGGTTACACTTGCTGCTGAGGGAGACTCTTAACGATAGTACTGTATATTGTGTCTAGCAGAAAAGGTGTGGAGTTGTTGACCAGATTGAGTATTAATAAAAAAATGTTTTTTTTTTTTCTCCGATTATAGTTAGTTTTGCCTGCAGTAATGGAAAAGAATAAAAATCCTGACTCAAAAGCAGACCTTACCGTATTTTCTGCTTCAATCTGTGTCGTTTTGCTGATTTTTAACGAGGAGCTTGAGGACAAAGACGCTGCCACTGCACTGAAAACATGACATCATCTCTTCCTTTCTCTCCTTCTTTATGCCTGTTTCCTCTCTTTCACATCCTTGCCCTCTCTTGTCTCCCTTTCATACTCTACTCTAAATCTTTCTTTCTCAAACTATGACATCACCTGGTGTGTTGCATAGTAGTAGTTCATAGGACAGCCTGTAGGGGGCAGGCTAGGCCCACAGAGGAGATTTTTCTCAAAGAAAACATCTCTGCAGTATCAGGATGAGGTCATACCTCTAAAAACACCTCCTATTCATATTTTTAGGATTTTGAACTGGAATTTTTTTGCAATGCTTTTATGTAATGTATAAAATAGAGCCCCTTTTGGTGATTATTTGATTTAGAAAATGAATGTGGTTTAATTATAAATAAAGGGCCTTTAAAAAAATATCAATTTACCCCTAATTCTTCACTCATACATTCTGGCTCATGGGTCCTTTTTCTTATTAAATGTATTTCCTTTTTCAGCTGCTTGTGCTTTAACACTGTGTGTATTTATTCAGTGTCTACTACCCAGGATGAGCTTAATTATCAAAGGGATCCACCTGTAACTTTGCCCCCTCTGCACGTGGGAGCATGTTGTTCCCATGTTGATCCAAGGAGGGCACTGTTTACCCATTATGATACAACAGCATGAACAACCCTCATTTGACTAGCAGATCAATGTGCCAAATTGTGACTTCATAGAAAAGCATGAACACAGACACACGCATACATACACACAAACCCCCACCCTTCACGGAAAGTCACACTAAGATATTTTGATTGTTTTTGGCCGGTCCCTCTCCCCTCCTCTCTGCACAATCAGCCGCACACGCAGCTCTTCAGTTAGGATTTTACATACCAGTTAGGCAAAATGAGTCCCTGGTACACAATGTCAGCCAAATGAGGCGTTCACAGTTCCTGGTTTGGATGCAGGCAGTTAGAGGATCTGGCTTTCACTGAGAGGGAAGGAGTTGTTTAGATAAGAACAACCTGGAAACTGATCTCCATATGTGATGGACGCTGCTGATCTTCATGTTTTTTCTAGTCTAGAGCATTTTTAGGGAAATAAAGAATCCTATACATGTGAAAGATGCTTAAAAGATCATAATTTACTTTAATCTACTTGCATTAAAGCAATAGAAAACTTTATTATCAGCTTATATTTACTGAAACCTGATGTAGATATTGGAGCTAAAACTCTCGTGTTTGTTCTATACGGACCTCAAGCTGCACTTGCTTACAGCTCTGCAGCTCCGTGAAGTTGTGTGACATCACCGTAGAGTATTTTCACTCCGAGTGTGTGTACCTTGCATGCGTGCCGTCTCATTCATAAAACGACTCTTTCTAAATGATGGGATTGGCTGCCTGAGCACGGCGCAGCCCCAACACGCCGCGGCGTTGTAGCCAATGAAAACATACTATGCTGTGTCTGACTCCACCTCTCATACATACCCGCACACATCAGCTCTCTCTGCCCGATCACACACGCTTTCGCTCCTCTCGCACACAGTCGACGGCGTAATGAGAATTAGAGTTGCAGAGGGGGAATCGTGTGAGAGACGGTTCCGTTTTTCGACAGTCCCCGTTCTGCAAGATTACACTGATCGCCTGGTGTCTTTAAGAAAGACACTCTGTGCCCCCTTGTCTTTCCTCTGCAGTGTAAGATTCAGTGTCAAGGCTGTCGAGCCTCGGCTAAATTGGAGCAGGAGATGTGAAAGGATGAAGGAGAAATCCATCTAGGGAGGGAAGAGGGGAAACAAATCTGTTTTGGACTGTAGGATCATGTAGTAGTGTTAAAAAAGTAATGGAAAAGCAGGCTGGGAGTGAAGGAGTCTGACCAATGATGTTCTTCTAGAGCAAAACTGGAAGGGGAGAAAAATAGTGTAATCAGACCATGAGACTGAGAATACATGGGGCTGGATATTTGTGAAGGGAAAGGGAAATTTCTTTACAGCTTTCTGGTTATTTATCTGATAAAACATGAATAAATAAAATGTTGCCTGGATTAAAAT